TTGTTGCACTTCAAAGAAAATGAAGTGATGGGTATTGCAGTCAAAAGAGGTCTGGCTGCCAGGCCATTCGGCCCAAAATCTCAGCTTGCTTGGATGGATGGAAAGAGCCCTGCTTGAAGCCGTTCTGAGAGGGCCGGGGAAGGTTACGCCAGTCTAATTGACTGTAAAAACAGGCCTTTGGAGGGGGTGGGAGTCTGACTCAAGGACTAAAAATAGCGGGCTATGCAAAAACAGATATCCCTCACAAAAGACAAACAAGCAAAGCTTGACCCCAAAAAATGGCCAAAGGAGTGATAAGCGTTATCACTGTCGACAAAACCGTCCAAATTTTTGACATGCAGTGACACTCTGCAGAAAATGTGCACATATTTATATCTATTTCCCATGGTGATGGAAGTAAAAATATCCTGACAAAACCAAGACCCAATGCTTTTCACACCTACCCGTAGGCAAGGCCCCCTGGAATGAAAGGCGGCCAGTAGGCCATGTCATGCTGCAGATGTTCTTGGCCGAGATGGCAGGAAGAAGTCTTCTCCTGCCTGTTGGCAAAAAATATGGTTTTCCTGCCTTGATGGCAACCGATGTGCAGAGTCAGAGATGCCACCTCAGGGTTGATCCTAAAAATGCAAAGGCATTTCCAAATTTGCAATGTTTGTCTCACATGGATAACATAGAACAAGGATGAATGGCAAGCTAGATTTTGGCCTGTCGGTTCTATTGAGGGGATACAGAAGTGTGGACTAGCCTAGAAAACTTGCTGTCCCTTTTCTCCATTCACCCCTAAGCTAGAAGAAGTCCAGAAGCAGTTGCTGTTGTCTCCAGCACTGAGATTTGAGGCCTGGTTTAAAGCATCCTTCACATTCTCCAGTGTGGAGGGAGATCACTCTGAAATCAGGCTATTCCCATCTGGAGTGAATTTCAGGAGTCCAGCTCCATCCAGTTCTTCATTTAAAGAAGCATGGAAATTCTTGCTTCAAGGTGCAGATTTGGGGACATTTTCCTTGCAAAACACACATTTTTAAATGTATTTTATCTAACAATAAATGCTCTTGCACATGTTGGTATGTCTAGCAGGAAGCGGCGTCAGAACCTTGGCAAAGGAGGACAGCTTTCTCATCTTCAGGAAGTGCAGTGCAGGTCAGGTCAACATACAGACCAAATGAAACCCTCAAGCATCCCTGGTGGGAAGCAGGAGAGCTGCAACTTCTCCTGACTGCTTCCGGCCCATTCACACACACCTGCTTTCTCCCGTATCAAATAGAGCAGATTAGGAAGTAGGCGTTTAGCGGGGCCAGGGAGGGATTGGCAGGAGATAAAGGAGATTGTCTCATCTCCCACCACAATGAGAGAATTAGAGACATGTTAATGTTCTCCACATTTTCAATCTGGCTAGTTGACAGAGAATCCAACCATCTCTTGGACCTGTGTCGGGCTTGAAGGAATGCGGCAGTGTTGCTTCCCTCCCACCTTTCTTTCTATCAATGTTAAATTTGGTCCAAACCTTTTTGAAGTGTCAAGCTGGGTTTTCTAGATTCAAGGGTTTTATTTGCTTTGTTCTGCTTTGCTTTGTTTGCACATGGCTCCTAACAATGCATTTTTCATGTCCTTTCCCCCTAATACGCACATCTTAAGGCAATTTTCCTAATATGTATCTTGAACGTTATTTTCATAAATATATGCATTTTTGCGTACATTTCCCCTAAAGTGCACATTTTTATCCATTATTAGATTGAAGAACTCCACTGTGAAATCTGGAGCAATGTGAGTCTTGAAGCAGAACTAGGTTTTAGTTCATCAGATCCTGGTTTGAAAAGGTTGAATCGGGGAACTTTGCATTAAATCCAGATGGGCCTAATTTATTTCACATCCCTTCACTGCGCACCTGATCTCCTGGCTGGCACATTCCTTTTGCTGCTAAGGAGCTTGCCACATTCTGGCCTTACCCAAGCTCAGGCAACAATAAGGAAGGGAAAATCTGATGCAACGGAAAGGTGGATTCCAGACTGAATTCCATAATATCTCAGACTGAAATTCCAAGGCCCTATAATGGCAACAGGAATTCGCAAAGCCTTCCCCTCTTTTCAGTTACTTGCTCCTAGTCACTTCCCCTTCCAGAAAGCTTTCTGGAAGTGGCAGCTTTGGGCTGAGGTTTGAGGGAACTGGAAGAATTGGCCCAGTGAGAAAGAGGCAGATAATATAGGCAGGGAGTAATGCTTATTGGTGGCTGATGGGATATGTGCCAATGGAAGGAAGACTGGGTGGGGATGGTGGAAACCATGACTGTGTAGAAGTCACTGAGTTGTCTGTCAAAAGGCACACACCGTAGGAACCATGCGGGAGTGTTTGTGCTGTGAACCTGGGCAGGGATTGCGTTTCCATGCAGCTGGGGGGAACTTGGTGGAGTGATGGTCTTCCATGCCCCTAAAACACGGAAGAGGAATTTACAAATAATTATTGATCGCCTGCCTTTCAGGCATACCACTTCCAAGGCAGCTGTTCAGCGTATTCGCATAAACAAAGATCAAAGCCATACAATGGCATTGCATTATCAACTCTGGGAACTGAATGTGCATAGAAGTGGAGAAATAAATTACTCCCTTCTGTTGCGAGTGCCATGTGGTCAAGAATCACAGGCATGGTAGGAGATAAATCATTCCAGATAGGTCCAACCAATTTTGAGAAAGCAGTACTTGTACTTCTAGAGAAGGTCTTAATTCCATTCGTGGAGAGAGAAAGGGCTTTCGGATTTAACTTCTCCAAGGTAAAGAGGGACGCTTCAAAAGCTTCCCGGGGTGGGACTTCCCATTAGCAGTGGCACATTAGCAGAACAGTTTTGTTCTTCCTCCACCCCAAAGGCTGTCGGCCACCCAGACCTCCACCTGCCTTCTTCACAATTGCCTGGACCTTTGCCAAACAGGTTGTGCATTGGCACATCGCAGCTGCAAGACAAAGCAATGCTGTATGTTGCTAGGAAGCTGGAAACCATGTCTCTGAGCAGGCTGGGAATAATTGTTGAGCCCAAACTGTTGTTGTTATTGTTGTTAGTCACGAAGTCATGTCCGACCCATCGCGACCCCATGGACAACACTCCCCCAGGCCTTCCTGTCCTCCACCATCCCCGGAGTCCACCCAAGCTCACACCAACTGCTTCCGTGACTCCATCCAGCCACCTCCTCCTCTGCTGTTCCCTTCTTTTGCCATCTATTGTTGCCAGCATCAGGCTCTTCTCCAGGGAGTCCTTCCTTCTCATTAGGTGGCCAAAGTATTTGAGTTTCATCTTCACTATCTGGCCTTCTAAAGAGCAGTCAGGGTTGATCTCAGAGATCAACAGAGATGAACCCAGACTAGGGTCCCCCAAACACTTCCCTTTCCATACCGTTGGGACTGTACCCCCTGGGTGGCTCCCTCTGTTGGAGGGTGAGGAAGCAGGAGCGGGGCAAGCCCTCTACCTGGGCAGCTCATCTCTCCTGATCAGGGGCTCAGGGGCTGGGCATGGCAGCGGCTCTTCCTCCCGTCTTCAGCCCCGCTCATCTGTTCCAAATCTGTGGCCAGTGACCTTGAGGGCCTTTCTCATCTCCACCGGCTCAAGGGCTCCTTCATGCTGACCCTGCCAACCATGCTGATCAGCTCCACTCGCTGCACAGTCTGGCATCAAAATAGGCTTGGGCTGTTGGAATACTCAGATTGATGTGCATGTATCCTTTTAAGCGTCCTTAAAATGATTGTAACCAGCAAGATGAAATTAGTACTCGTAATTAATTATTGCTTTTATGACTGTTCATCAACCAATGTTCCCTGGGTAGCTTAAAGTGCAGAGAGCATGACCCACTCAACGTGGAAAATGCCCAATGTACCGTCAACCCAAAATAAACCTGGTTGCTGTTAATGTTCTTTCATTCTGGCATATCAGAGAGAAATGATTCTCATGGCTACTCTTAGAAAGAGGCAATGGTTAGCAGGTGATCTATGAGGCAATGCAACATGGAAACAGCTCCAGATTGGGGAATTTAGTTCTTTCTTCTGTTTACATAAATGTGTTTATTTCTCAATGTTGAACGATGAGCTCTTCAAAGAAAACATCGTCAAAACTGACCAGCTAATGTGTGGAGATGTTACTGAATCAATCTTTCCATTTGTGCAACAACCAGTCATTTCCCAAATTCCCAGAATGCGTGTGCATATTTGTGAGTGAACGTTGGAGCAAAATGAAAGGTGGATTCCTGCAGGATTTCAGACTGAAGTAGGAGCTCTCTGGATTGTTTCTTTCATTTGATCAGCTAACAAAAGTGGGCCCTGTGCCTCCGTCTTAGAGCCACGGCTCAAGTAGGAGTAATTGTTGTTGTTGTTCAGTCACAAAGTCCAACCCATCTCCTCATGACCCCATAAATCCACCAGCAAACATCATCCTTAATTCCCAGTCCAGTCCAACCTTCCTGAAGAACTAATGAGTTGCCACTCATCAGCCACAGAGAGGTGAAAGCCACAGAGGGGTCCAAGGGAATCCACATGCTGCTGCTGTCGATATCCCGGTAGACGTCATGCCCTTGGGCAATCAGAAGGAATTCAGTTCAGAACATAAAAACTTCAAGCCCTGCTGGATTGGACCAAAAGTCCATCCAGGCCAGCCCTCCATACTCACGGGGGCAAACCAGCTGCCCACAGGATCCCTCCAGCAGGATGGGTGCAAAACCTCCTCCCGCCCAAGCTCCTCGGCAGCTGGTGCGGAGGAAGCCCATGGCCAGCAAGACTAGTAGCCACGGATAGCCTCCTCCCTGGTGAATCTGTCCAATCCCCTTTTAAAGTCATCCTGATTGCCGGCCATCACCATTTCCCATGGCAGCAAATTCCACAGTTCAACCATAGGTGGTGTGAAGGAGGGCTTCCTCTTATCTATTCTGAACCCGCCAACGGGGCCTTCTAAAGTCTCATCATGGGAGAAGTTGCACCATCCCAAAACTGGGGAATGGCAGGCATTTCATGTGTCTTTTTTATCTTCACAGATCTGCAAAACGGTGCCGCTCAAGGGAATATATGCACCACCCATGGCTGTGTCACAGCAGGTAATCATCTCATTTTTTTTCTTTTTACAAGAGAAGTCCAACATCACAAACTTCTTTTGCCTTGGCAAATATAAATAAATCATAACCTAAAGGAAGACATAAATGCAACGAAAGTCATAACACGACAAAAGTAGCATCTTTTGTGGTGTGGTCATTGAGCTTAGACAACAATTCTATCCACACTTACCTGGAAGTAAACTCCAATGAAAGTAGAAGCCTTACTTCTGTATAGACATGAAGAATAGCTGAGAATCTCTCAGAATGATTTATGGTGACATCCTATAGAATGATGATTCAGCAGTAAACCCCACTGAGTTCAATGGGGTGTCAAATGGAAGTGAACCTTACATAGCCACATCAAATTTAATCAATGTAGGCCATCCACACTTTGCAGCATTTCCCTGTCGGTTTTCAAGAGAGCACCGTGGATTCTTCAGGCAATCTTTTCCAATATCCTGTTCTCTACCCAGTGAGAGATCCCAGAGTTTAAGTGCTGCATTTGGATGGAGAAAAACTGAATTCAGGTGCTGACACTTTCAAGAAACGGAGCACTGTCTAGAGATATTGCTTGGAGCTGTTTATAATGTGTATTCCAATGGCACTCTTCCACCAAAAGCAAATGCACTGATGTTACAGATAAACAACCCAAAACAATGTTTAGAAATTATGATTTAGACTACCTCTCATCTCTGATGAACTGAAGATGTAGGAACCATTCCTACACTCATTTGCTTGTGTTTAAGCCAAATCTTAAGCCGCAAGGACAAAGGGCTGTGGAAATTTTTTTCTTAACGAAGAAGACACAAGGAAATTGTCACGTACCCATTAGCAGATTTCTCACTGCTTCTTGGAAAGGAGAAACAGCGACTGTTTCAATGGCATGTAATCAATCTCAGAAAACCTTTTGATTGGCTATAGGTATGATCTTTCTACTTCTCTTATCTAAAATGGGGGGAGTCCAGTTTTCTTTGGGAGCAAATGCATCTGCGACTCACAATGTGTCAAGGTGTGATTTCACGTCACACTTGCCAAAGTGATGCAACTTGGCAATTCTGTGATACTTAAACTTGCTAAGTGATCACAGGTTCATCGCATTTGATATTTCTTTCCTTTTGGTCCACATTCCTGGTTGTGGTGGAAAGGTGGAGACACACAACTTGACGGTTGCATCCAGACTAATCACTAGAGATGGACCAACATTTCTCAGAAAACTTTTTTCCCCGAAGAAAAGGATGAGATGTTTATTTTTCTCAGCTCCTTTGAAAAACCAGAACACCCTGTAGAATTTTGCCCACATATTTTCCATAATTTTTTTTTCTGGTGGCTATCATTTATCAGAGACCATGCCTTGGAGTAATGTTTAGTCCAGAGAATTGTGGAGGATGCAAGTGGCAGCAGGAGAAGAAAAAATCAGAGAAATGATGGGAGGACCTCCTGCAACTTCTAATGGAGGACAGCACGTCTGAGAAACTTAACCCTGGGGATGGTTGTCCTCTGCCCAAAAGTAGGGTGGACAATGTTAAGGCACACAGTTTTGCCTCTCTCACTGTAATCCCATTGAGATGAATGGACTGCAAGCAGCCATGACTAGCTTGTCCCATTGGTTTCAGCTTAGTCTGGCCCCAACTTGATTAGCTCAGAAGTGTGCAAAGGGATTAAGGGACGGTTGTAGGAAAAGACATGAAGTGGGTCCTTTCAGGGAAGATTAGCAAATGTTATATCCCTGGTCCCTAAAGTGCTGTTAGCTAGTTAGGGGCAGGCTGTTGAGTGATATACTCGCAGTGCCTTCTTCCTCTCTAAGTGAATTCCCCGCTTCACCACCACCATCACCACAACGTTGTCCCTACCACATGCTTGGATCTTCTTCTGGATCTAAGTCCATACCCCCACCCAGAAACAGAAGATGGTAGATAAAACAGAGCTCAGAGGTGCTCCAGGGTGGCTCCCCTCTCACCATCTTCTTGGGATGGTCAAGTGAATGGACATCAGGAAGGAAGGAAGATGAAGAACAGGTTCAGAAGGCTGCAGAGGTTGGGGGCCTCTACCAGGGCCTGGTCTTCAATGTTCCCTCAGCAGAGATGGTTTCTGACACCAGCCCTGTCCACAAGGAGCCAAGTTCCTGGTGGAGGTCACCTTCACCTTCATGGCATGAAGCATTATTGGTGCTCATGACGGTGAGACTGGAAACCTCCTTCTGAAAAGTATTGGTGGTGCTAAGCTCCAGCTCAAACTGTTCCTGGGATTTGCGTGCAGCGCTTGGAAATGACTTTGCAGGCAATTGTGAACAGTCCCCCATAATGGATGGCTTCTCTTCCCACATTGTCTTAGCTGCCCGAATCATTCAGAACATGGACCCAACAGCAGAGCCTTGCGAGAACTTCTACCAGTACGCCTGTGGAGGCTGGCTCAATCGGCACGTCATCCCGGAAACAAGCTCACGGTACAGCATCTTCGACACACTGAGGGATGAGCTGGAGATTATTCTCAAAGGTGAGGCTCTCACTGTGGTGTCCCATCCAGCCTTTGACCCTCCGAATGGGGATCTGCTGGAGCGTATGCGGATGCTTCTTTGTGCCTTGCTTGTCCTGGCCAATTCCATGCCTTCCCTTTCCATGCAGCTTGATGGCACTTCCCCAAGGTTCTTCACTGGTTCCTACCCAGCCCGATGCATCCAGGTTGGGCCTGATCCATTACCTGGTCGATGGCAGGTTTTAACTGCTGTACTCACCAGCAGCACCCATTGCTGGCTCTTCTGCACCATTTTTGGTCTCTCTGGGGATGGAAGTGAGAGTTGCCATGGAAAGACACTCAGAAGGGATCTAGAGTGTTTTGGGTTATTCTGCCCTCCCTTCAAAGAAGTCAGGGCAGCACACACGGTTCTGACTTACCCATCTCATTCCCACCACAACCCTGTGAAGGAGCTTCGGTGGGCAGACAGGGACCAGCTCAACTGGTCAACACACTGAGCAGCAGATCAGGAAGTCGTTGTGTCAACTCCCCTCCGGCATGAACTCACAAGGAGGTTTTAGGCAAGCTTTTCTCTCTTTGCCTTAGTCTCCCCGTATGTGATATGGATTTGTTCTGAGAATCATGGCTAAGCCATGCATGTAAGATCGTTTGACTGCTGGAGAGAGCGATGCAAGTGTTGTTGTTGCTTTGATCCCAATGTTCTAACAACTAGCCCCTTTTAAGGTAGCCTCTCTGCTCCTAAGGATAAGATAACAGCAAAGACAGGAGTTTCTGCTCCTATGAGCTTCTGCCAACTCAGGTCCTATTTTCTCACTGGTGTGTGTAATTTTTTTAATTCATTTTTAAAATTTTAACATGTAAAAGAGCAATTAATTTGTGCATCGATCAATGGACTCACAGTGCATCCCTGTGCAATTTCAGGCCTTATACCTGCAACCAGGTGTTGGGTTTTGATGAGAAGGATCTTCAGCAGGGCAATTGGAAGAGGTCAGCCATGGTTGCAATTGGAGTGTTGCTTTGCCATTTTCGCTCAGTCCTGCAGTCAATAACGGGAATCCCTGAAATAGGTCATATTAACAGTGGACTACTTTCTATGGCTGTTAGAAGCCAAAATCCCATAGCTTTGCCCCCCTCCCACAAGATATGGAGATAATGGATTGTATTGATCCTGGCATTTAGAGGATAGATATAAAAAGTATCAACCAGGGCTTTTGAACTCCCTTATGGCCAAGGGCTGGTCTCCATTTTGGAGAGCCTCTCATGGGTCTTATTATACTGGTAAGAGGGGCTAAAAATACCAAAATACTGTAGCTTAAGGCATGCTACATAAGTCCTAAGCTTGAGGAGAGATGCCAGGAAGTACTTCCTGATGGTTAGGGCTCCTAGGGGATGGAATGGGCTTCCACAGGAGGTGGTTGAAGCCCCATCAGTGAGGGTGTTCAAGGAAAGATCGGACAACCACATGTAGGGCATTACACACCTGGAGCTGGCTGGAGCCAGGGATCAGACTAGATGGTCCAGGAGACCCCTTCTGACTCGCTCTGTTCCTATGTCTATGCTTCTATGTTTCACCCTTTTGGAGTGGGAAACAGACTGCACAAAAGCTGCCAAGACACCCAAACAGAAGAGGCTGGAGGAAGATGGGGCCAGTGAAAGGGAGCGTGGCCACCTGTAGACACTTGGACAGTCCCACACCTCTGGTTCTGCAACCCTGTTGTCAACACTCAACAAAATGGACAGCTCTCACTTCCAGGGGTAGAAGAAGGGGAGGGCGACAAAACCAGGAAGATGCTGATCTGTATGGGAAGCATGACTTCCTGTAATGACGTATCTTTGTTTGTGCCATAGCCACTTGCTGGGCTTGGCTGTGTGGCTGCTGAGCTCACTCTGCTTGACTTCTCCTAAGTCCTCTGTGCCCTGCTGGCTTGTTTCCCTCTCCGACTTTCAGCTCCCTTGCCTGCCTGCCTGCCTGCCTGCTTGCATTTCTGCTTGCTGCTTCCTGCGTCCTTGCTCTAGCTTCATCTGGACAACTCCTCGACTCAGACCCTGGCCTTACCGTTGGATCGAATGTCCTGGACTGAACCCAAGGCCCTGTGTCATCCAGCCCCACATCCTAAGGTCTGTTTCAGCCCCTGTGGGGCACCTGTCCCACTGCTCCACCCTAGGAGGGGTTCTAGTCCCCCAGAACTGATGGCATCTAGCTCGTGTCCCCTTTCTCACTGCTTTCCATGCCCATTTCCAGTCCGCCAGCTTTGCTGCCCCCATATTCTCGGCACTGGTCAATTTCTGCCACCATTGGCTGGCCTCCAGCTTTGGCCTGGAAGCTCAGGTTTGGGTGTTCATTCTCTGAAGGCTGGCCACTTAAAACCTGAAGACCAGCAGCTTTTGTAGATTCCTACTGTTCAGATCAGGAGCTTTGCAGCTTAAAATCAGCAGCAGCAGCATCTAAATTGGGGGAAATATTGTATAAGTGGGATTTCCCTGCATTGTTTCCCTAAATGTTTATTTTTTCCAGTGGAAAGAAAGAGGCGCGTGTGTCTGTTCTTCTTGAGCATCCCCGCTGTTTCCTGGACCTCCACACTTCTTCTTTGCCCCTTTTCCACTAGGTCCAGCTTGACAGTGTGGAACTTGACCCTCAACAGTTCTATGCTGCAGCCCATTAATCTCTGCTTGTGGGGTTAGTTCTGGCACCTCTCATTCTCACATAGGTTTGCTATCGCTGTCCCCTGGTCTCCTACACATTGCCAAGAAGGGGACAAAAGCAGAGGCAAGGTTGTGTCACGTGTGTGTGTGCCAAGTGCAGGTTATGCAGTGCCTAAAACCTGGATCGGAATACGGTGCTCTTGTCTTAGTGGGGGAGAATGCGGCCAGGTGGCCGATGGGAATGCTGCTCCAGCCACAGTTCTCTGGTGTTGAGCGGCACCTCTGAGACCCTGGGCTCTCCTTTCCAAGGGTTCTCTTGCTTGAAGCAGCTTGGACTGTACCACTTTTCAAGTAGAAAACACCTTCCAGTATGGACCTCCTGGCCAAATGAGCCCAGAGGTTAGATCAAAGAGATGTCAACCATCTTCTTAGCTGCAAACATGCCTCATACATTTAAATGTCTTTTCATGGAGCGCAAGATCAGATACAACATGGGTGAGAGCCCCCACGCCTTTAACAGGCGGAGTGGTGGGAACTCACCCCCGCAAAGAATCTTGTTAGGTAAATATGAAAAAGACAGATGGCGACCCTCCTTTTGCATCAATATCCTCACTTCCATTCAGTGGCCTCACTGCAACACTGGAAGAAAGAGAGTAACCAGATCTATGGCCCTTCTAGGAGGTCCCCAACTAGGGGGTGTCTTCTCCTTGCTGCCCGTTATGTCATTGTGACCTTTCTTTGTTCTAACCCTCCAGGTGTGTTGGAAACACCCAAACAGGAAGACAGAGATGCCTTCCTGAAGGCCAAAGTGCTTTACAGATCTTGTATGAATGAGAGTAAGTTGCCTTGCCTTTCTTCCTCTGCTCCTCAAGCTGTTTTCTCTGGCTCCTTCTCTTATTTATTCTTTACTTGCCAATATTGCTGAATCTCTTAAATTAAAAGGGATTTCTCAGTGCTATACAAGCCATATGGTATAAAACCATATCTGAGTTGCTTCCTTCAGTAAATAGAGCAGCGTGTCCCTGTTTTCTTCATTCCTAGAAGTATTGGTAATGAAATTTGAGTTTTCACACTTGCAAATATCCTCGTCTGATGGAGCTTGAGGCTCTTGGAGACAGTGGGCTTGGTCAGACCAAGTGTCTTCCTGGTAGACCATTCAAATTACCTCTCTTGAGCCAGAGTCATGCAAACCTCCAAGTGGCCCTGCTGATTTTCTCTCATGTTGCATATACAGAGAGATGTTGTTTCAGTGGGGAGCTGATGCCCCCTGTAGACTATCCCAGCTTGTGCAGTAGTTGGCCCTCCTTCTGTAGAACAGCTCGCTGTGCTTTCTGAAAGTGCCCTTGTCCGAGTTTGCATCTATTGGCTTCTGAAAGGTTAGAGAGATGCTTCTGTGGACTTCTTGTCTAAGGACAATGATGATACCATATCCACTGGTTGGAAGGGCATTGGAGAAATTGCAGGAGTTTCAAGAACCTGTAAGCAGGACAGGTACTGAAAGGTTCTGATTCAGCCAGATGCAGAATTACTGATCTATGAATCTACCTCTGGTTGGGCTGCCTACCAGCCTTGCCTTCAATGCTAACCCTAATTCTTTGGAGCCTTGTCCCATCACCACTGCAAGCAGGACAATACCAGACCTCGATAACAATGAGGTCTACCATTGTGGGGCAAAGATGCCAAAAGTCATTGTCCTGCTTGGAATGCTAAAAAGGAAACTAAATTGGAGATTTGGCAGGCTTCAATAATTGGGCTGTGTTGGGAGTCCAGCCAAGACACAAGGGCATCGTGTGTTAATGCTGGGCTTATGTTAGTTCCTGAAGAACTTAATTTAAAGACTGTCTTGCATGACAACCTGGAAGCATCACTGCCTTGGACCATGTTTAATGTCTTGCTAGATGGACCAGGTGGCAACTGTTGGAAAGATCTGTATTTAGGACCCTGGAGTACTGCAGCCAGCCAAAGAAGGAAAACCTGCCCTTGATGGATTAATAGTTGGTTCAGCTTCAATCTAAGGCTTTGTCAAAGCAAAGATATGATGAGTATCCAGCTCTCTGCACATTAGATCTCCAGTTCATTCACTCTTTGTCTCCTGTTGCTTGTTTTTTCTGTCCTATCTGTAGGCTTTATAGAGCAATTTGATTCCTTGCCTCTGCTGGAGGTCCTGCATGTGATCGGAGGCTGGCCGGTGTCATCTGAGGACTGGAATATTACCAATGGTAGAGTAGAGGTCAAGGGTGATGGGGCTTTCCTCCCTGAGCAGGGAGCTATCTCTGTTTCTTGGACAAGACCTGAGGGTGGATTATGGAGATTGCTCAAAATGCATTTTGAGGTGGAGTTAGAGTCTTCAACCTGCCCAAGTCTGGGCCCAATTTAACGTGCTGGTGATTACCTGTAAAGCCCTAAACAGCTTAGGGCCTGGTTACCTGAAGGAGCGTCTCCTTCCATATGTGCCTGCCCACACCTTAAGATCTGGGGCAGACGCCCTTCTCCAGGAGCCCTCCCTGAAGGAGATTAGGAGGGTGACTACCCGGAGAAGGGCCTTCTCTGTGGTGGCACCCCAATTGTGGAATTCACTCCCCAGAGAGGTTCGTCTGGCACCATCACTTTATTCTTTCTGGCACCAGGCTAAAATCTTTTTATTTTCCCAATGTTTTAAGATGTGATTGTTTTATTTGGGGTTTTATTGTCCGTTGAATTTTTAGGACATTGCATTTTATTTTACATTTTGCATTGTTACACCGTCCTGAGACTTCAATAAGGGACCATCTAGCAAAGTTTTAAATACGTAAATGCATAAATAATCGTGGTGAGCAGAGTCCTCTTATCCATAATACTAAGGTTGGAAGGCCACCAGTTTTGGCAGTTCTGTGGCTCTACTGTAGTTAATCAGTGTGTGAGCTGCCTTCTACAGACTTGGAAAGGTGGTGGTCCACCCGCCTACTTAATGCTGTTGCACTGACAGGCGATGTCTTCCCAGGGTTTCAGACATGGGTCTAGCCCAGACTGGTCTGGAGATCATGGGATTTAATCCTGGGGCCCTTCTGCACACAGAGCCCTTTTTACTGGGCTGTGGGCTTTCCCCAAAAGCAATGCAAAGGCTGTCTAGCAAGCAGAGTTTCTAAAACAAATAATAATAATTGCACCAGTTCTGTGCCTTGCTTTTCCAACAGTTGGCCCCAGAGTGCATAGGGAGTAGAGGAATAATCCGACAATCCCTGACGTTTTTGTTCCTGGCCCCTTTTAATCAGCCACTGGAATTCCTTTGAATTAGATTTCTGTTGGCACTGAGAACTATGGGTTTGAAGGAGTCATTTGCGAGTTGGGGCCCTGCTTTCCACTTTCAGCAAGCTCCAGCTCCTTTGCCACATCTCCCACGGCAGATACTTTATGGTGATTCTTTAGACAGCTTCTCAAGTTGCCCGAGGTGTCCACTGCCAATCTCTAGTTTATAGGAAGTTTTTGGAAACCCTGAAGACGTGAATTCTGCTCTGTGTTTCCATGAGCAGCCCATTTCGTTGGATGCCTGGAGTGCAATCCTAAATTATGGGTATACACAAACATAGCTGAGAAGCGTCTTGTAAGCCATGAGGCCAGAGGGAAGGGAAATACAAAAAGATGCTTGCGTTATTAACAGCGGTCATTTGCTGTTGATGCTCAGTTTTGTTGCAATATACAAACATATTGCTGGGGAAATTATTTCTGCAAAGCACAGATAAAAGCTGTGTGACTTGAAGCACAGCTTACAGCAATCTCTCCCGTAATTATCTCTGCTCCCAAAGGGCTCACACGCATAACTTTGGATTCCTTAGGAAAGTAAGAAGGGCCAGCTCAAAATACTTCCCTCTCCAGCGTTTTTGTATTGCTTTTCTTCCAGTTGTCCCCAGGTAAAGGCCTAGAGAGCTTCATTCATTGTTCTGTTTCTCTTCTTCTTCCCCTGATTCTCAGGCTACAGGCACAACTAAAATGAAATAGTTTATCATGCCTATTTTTACTCCCAGAATCCTCACTTATCCTGAACTTCCCATTTTTCCTGGACCCTAACCCATTGAAAGGGTCCAAGTTTTTATATGCTCTTTTAAAAATATACTTAAATCCTTTTTGCCACAGAGTCCAACTGGAGTGTTGAAGAAAAGCTCGCTTTACTGAATTCTCGATTTAACACACGAGTCCTCATTGATATGTTCGTATGGCATGATGACCGGGATTCCAGCAGAAATATAATTTATGTAAGAAAACATCAAGGAAAGGATGTACCATTATGATTTTGCTCACTTGTTTTTCCTTCCATGAGAGTTTATTAAATATTGGTGCTAAATGTTGTTGATGCATTGGATTCAGTCTAGCCACCCACCTGAACTTCTGTGTATAAAAGCTGGCTCAGGCTGAGATAGGAACATGACATGACTGTACCACTCCAGGACTGTACCACTTCTGATTGCAGGTGGGGAAATGGCATGTTTGATCCTTTTAAAATTCCTTCTTAGATTTTAATTGTTCTAATAAATTCTCTAGATTGCCCAATGATTTGATAATGAGAGGTATATAAATACTTTGAATAAACACAAATATATGTTTGAATGCCACTATAAAAATGCAAAACCTTTTCAGGCAGAAAACAGAAGTAGGAAGGAAACTGTTCTAATAGCCATCTCTTTGATTTACTGAATATCAAATTGCCTAAGTGGAAAGGACTGTACCACATGCTATTTCTGTACCTAAGTAGGGTGCACACCACCGGTAAACTCTCACAAAAGACAGGGCAGTGTTTTCGAGCTAATGAAAGAGGAATCTTGACCTTCAGGTTAGATTCCCAAGTGCTTCTAACTGGCTGTCTCCATTTCAACAGAAACTAGGTCTGTTTCTACACATGACATGCTAGCTAAGGTGCTTTCAAAGAGGGGATGCCATGCCCTGAACCTTGAATCATGTGTGCATAAAGGGTGTAAATTACATCTGAGTTATGGCCCTTTCCTCAAAGATCTTGGGGGCTTATGCCCTTGCCCCCCAATCCACCAAGCAATGAGAACTCCTGGGACGCAAGCATTTCGCCCAAGATTTTGTTCCTGCGGGATGAGGACAGTCATGGTGCATCTGTGATACATGATTTTTTTTAACACTCATATGCAGGTCAAACTCACAACATAAACACAATTGCACACATGGCTCCCTGTTAGGATTCTAGAGGGGGCTCTTCCTCCTTAAAGATTCCTCCAGCACTCCAGCTTCCAGACTGATGTTCTCTCCAGCAGCAGTTAAATGTGTCTTGTCCTGACCTGGCCAAATCTTAGTGGTGAGACCTCCCATCCCAATATCTCTTTAACCTTAGAGGTATCCAGGAGAGAGCTATCTTGGCAGCTTAGCCAACTTTAATCAAGGAGGATTTTGGTTCTTCTGCACCGTCGGCAGAGATCTTCCTGACATTTGCTCCTGGAGTTCCTTTTTAATGAGATGCTGGACATAGAATCAAAGACCTTTCATAAACAAAGCATTGGCTGTCCTTTTCAGCTATGAGCCTTTGATATTAACATTTCTGCCAAATCCTTTCCTACTCACTAAGAAAGATCATCTTCCTCCAGATTGACCAGCCTGGGTTGGGGATGCCCTCTAGAGATTACTACTTTAATGACGGCAACTACCAAAGAGTGAGTATCCTCCCTGCTTCCAAGCTGCAGTTGATTGTTTCCAAATTTCACTCCCATGCTGCACCGAGACCTAGCAGAATGGGTGCTATGCCTCTCTGCTTCCTTGCTCCCTGCCTACCTGCTGTTTCCAGAGATGTTCTCCAAAACAGACTTCAAGCATGTGTTTGCTAACCATTTTATCACTAGGATCCGGAGGCCCACCATCCAGAAGCTAGGTGCAGTCAAATCCATTTGTGTTACTTTCTCTAATGTTGCACTGTTCCAAGCACAAGTTCCCGCCAACTGTTTCTACACCATCTTGCTTTTTTTTTAAATCCCACCAAATCTGATTGGCTCCTGGTTCCTGGCTTCATTTCCATTTTTTGTATCCATGAACATCTACCTTCTGTGTACCATTTTTCTAATGTGCATAGGAATACTGCCTCTGATACTAGAGGTGGCAGGGAGCCCTCAAGACTGATGGCAAATATTCCTTTGAATATTATTATGTCCAGTTCTGGATACCCTGCTTTACAAAGGATTCAGCTAAGTCCGGGTGAGTTCAGAGACATCAGGATGACCAGGGACTAGAAATTAAGTCCTACAAGGAAAGATTGAAGGGGCTGGGAAAAGAAGGCTGAGTTGGAAGAGGGCACCACTCTTCAAGAACCTAAACGGTTCTCATGCAGTTTGTTCTCTTCAACCTCTTCTCTTGCTTCCAAGACTGTAGGACACGGAATATCAAGCTGAAGCACAGAAACATAGAAACAGAGCAAGTCAGAAGGGGTCTCCCGGGCCATCTAGTCTGACCCCAGCTCCAGCCAGCTCCGCTCAAAAGAAGGAGGCCAGGGCCGGCCATATGCTGCATCCAATTGGAGTCACCCATCCAGACTCCAACCAGGCCTAACCATGCTTAGCTTCTGAGATTAGGCAGATCGAGCACTGCAGGCTATATGGAAGCATGATATAATGAATGCTTATCAAGCTTGCAAATGGCACAAATGATTGTGTGGGTTTTGGATGCTTCTAGGTGGGACATCTCTTCCAGTTGAAACTGGTGCGTGCGGCTTACATTTAAATGCTTGTTCCTAAAAGCTTCTCATTCTCCCCCTCGGGTTAGGTAAGAGAAGCCTACTTCCAATACATGGTCACCATAGCCAAAATGATTAGAGAAGATATGAATGCATCCAAAGATGACAACTTTGTCCTGGAAGAAATGAGAAAAGTTATGGAGTTTGAAATAAGAATTGCAAATGTAAGTACAGTATTTACCGAAAACCCAAGGGTCCATTCAAACAGATGTGCAGACAGCAATATACAGTCTGGCAAACTTTTTCAGCTGCAGATTCCAGCAACCATAATTTAAATCTTTCCTGCTTTTCCAGGCAAAAGCTCATTTGTCTATCCACATAAATGATTTGGACAGTCAAGCAGAACTCATAAAAGCATTTCCCCCCCAAAAAATGTAAGACACATCTAAGATTATTAAAATAAATATATGCTAAGCTAGACCAGCAAAACTAAAGGGCAGATGATTAAAATTTTAAAACTCCCAACCAACTTTAGCAATCTGAATGTGCATGGAAATAAAATGTATTGCATATACCAATGGGAAGTCCTTGAACAGTCAGAGGACCAGCCACTGCAATGTCCCATCTTTTGTGGCTTGCAAATTTGCTGGTTTTTTGCAGCCCTGGGAGCCAGACTTGTTGGTATTGCAGGCCACTGGAAGGTCCAGAAGGTTTCGACTCTCCACCTGGCAGCTGGGCTAAATCATCTGCTAAGGCTTTGAGTTGTATGCACCATGCATGTTTTATTTATTTATTTATTTATTTATTTATTTCCCGATTTCTATCCTGCCTTTTTCCTACAAAGGGCTCAAGGCAGCTTACATCCTCCTCCTCCTCCTCCATCTTATCCCCACAACAACCCTGTGAGGTAGGTTGGGTCGAGAGTCTGTGACTGGCCCAAAATCACCCACTTGGCTCCCTGGCTGAGTGGGGACTCGAACCCAGGTCGTCTGAGTCCCAGTCCCACGCTCTGAACCACGACGGCACTCTGGCTTTTTAGGCTAGTTGCTGCCCCGGGCTTAGAATAAACCAAATTCCAGGTCAAGAGTATATTGTGGGTCTTATAGGATGCAGCCCTGCTCAAAATTCCCATGCAACATAGTGAATTCTGCCAAGCTTTCAGCAAATAGACAGCATGTTCTCTTTGGCACACTGCGTAATATCACATTGTGCAAGCCAAGGATGATTGTTCTGACACTGCCAATTACACGTATGATATTGGGTAAAATATCCATGTGTCTAAAAGCCCGGTGCGACACAATCAGTCATGCGTATGTGATGGCGCATGAAATGACCGAGAGAAGCAAAGAATAATGGAAGCATAGATGGAATGGGTTGGATGTTACAGCGCCCTCGAGAAATCATTCCTTTCCTGAAGTGCTACATTTAAGAAGCCCTTGCTGAGGTTTAAGGCCCAGACTCCAGAACAGTGAAGTACTCCTGGGTCTGGATGGATGGATCTGTCAGTTCTACCCCATTTGATTTAGTAGTAGTAGTAATTACCAGGGGGCTGGACCTGATGGCCTTCATGGTGCCTTCCAACTCTATGATTCTATGAATTTTCTGCCTTCTTCATTAAGAAATCTGAGTATCTAGCCCAGTTCTTCTCAAAGGAACCCAACAAAGTTCTCACCCATCCACCATGCTAACTGTTGTCTTTGTTTTTCAGGCCTCTGTTCCACAGGAAGAAAGACATGACGTGACTCTGCTATACAACAAAATGACCATTGCAGAGCTCCAGGAAAAGTATGAGTTGAATGTGAGTATTTGAAAACACAATCCCAAGCATGGGTGGGGAAGAAATTCTTTCTGTTCCCAATTTCACGGTTTGCAAAAAATTTGCATATATTAGGAGGAAAAGTACGCCAAAAAGCATGTATTAAGAGAAGTGTGTGCAAAAGGCTTATGAATTTTTATCTTAACTTATTTGGAATAATTCTCCGAGTCTTGGACAAAGCCAACATATGAATGGAGAAATCCGCAAAGGTCAAGAAAAAGAGGAACTCGGAGAAATCACAATTGATACGCAATATGAATGACAACATAGATTCTGATCCATGTATGTGTTTAAACTGTGGTTGGAGTTGAGGTTGGTAGGAGCAGAAGGAAGGACCCATGGCTAGCTCCTCGGGTGAGCCTTAGGTGGCCTGACTCTCACATCGGCCCTCTGCCAACGCAATGTTCTGCTCAATAGCAAATATCCCTGAATTGCACCAGCCAAGGAATACATCAGCCAGGAAGGCTTAAGGAACTCATTTTGTCTGTTTCAATGCAAACACTCCAAATCTGAACCTTCTGGACTATTGTGCAGTTTGGAATTTTGTTATCCACTGGCTCCCATGCCTCCCAAAATTGTTGGTTCAGTTCTTGGCTCAGCAACCGTATCAAAATATAAAGTAATGTATTTACAATGTTTTAAGCAGCTGCTTAGCCAAAGCAAACTTCTGGGGTGGCTTGTGCATAATGAGAGGGAGGGAGGGAAGGAGAGCGAGAGTGAGAGCAGAAGGAAGGAAGGGACAGACAGATGCAGTTCCTGCCCGCAGGCTTACATCTAAAAAGGCACGATTCCCAAGGAAAGAGGGAAAATAAGCAGGACTGCTAGAATGGAAAGATATGTTTAGAAAATTCTATTATGAGTGGGGAAGTATTTCTTTTATGTAAAGCTTCTATATGTGCATTATATTCACAAGTTAATGACTAGGGATGCCTGAATCAGCGGTGGTGCCTCGTAATTTGAACTTAATTTGTTTCAGGAGGCCATTTGAACTCTGAATCGTTTGAAGTCCGAAGCAATGTTCCCCATTAGAAATAATGGAAAGTGAATTAATCAGTTCCCAGACCCTAAACAAGACCCATTTCGGCAGTGAGAATGCTCTGAAAAGCAGGGATCGGGAAGGCACCTCCTTGTGCTCCATCTTTCCGGGCGCCTCTATTTTGAATGCTTGTGCAGGGTTTTAGCAGTAGCACCTGGGACCTTCTAGCCACTGGGAGAAGCAATTCCCTGCAGGAATTAAAAGGCTTAGAAAACTTTAAAGGCAGCCTTCTGACCACCTGATCCAACTTTTAAGAGCAACTTCAGGGAGATGTGGAGTGGTGTGCTCTTTGGAAAACTTGCTTGGGAGGACAGGTCACCTCAGAGCACCTAGAAACACAGCCCAGTTAAATTCTTCAAGCATCCCTTTCCAAGAGAGCAAACACATGGTTTGTGAGAGCTGTTGTAATTGTGAGTCCATAATGGTGTTAAGTTCACGTTCTGAGGTCTTCCCATTCCCAGCTCTCCTGCCTTCTCCCACCTGACTTCCTTTGCCCTCTTCTTCTGGCTTCACCATGGTGCACCTCTCTGGCTTCATGGGCTTGGTCAGACTGGCAGGTTGGTTTGGCACACTCTTAAGAAGGACCCTTGTCCCAAGAGGAGAGCCCAGACTTTGTTATCTGCAATTAACAGGATTGGGGAGGAGCGTATGGGAAAGACCTTGGCCAAAGACCCGGAGAGCCAATCAGAGGAAGGAGTACTGGGCCAGAGAAACAAATACACTGATAGGGTATAAGGCAGTGTCTCGGAGCTTCCACGTGTATTCATTCATTTATATATAGCTTTTCTATCCCGTCCCCTACAAATGTCTCCAGATAGCTTACAATATAGCCTGAAGTGCTTGACCCTCCCCAATCTGGAAAGTTAAGCAGGGTCAGGCCTGGTGGAAATTTGGAGGGGTGGCTTGAGTCCTGCATTGATCAGCTGGTTGGATCTGATGGCCTGCTAGGTCCCTTCCAATGGTATGATTCTATTCTATTTTACACCCCACTCTCTTCTTGAGAGGCCCTGACCTTTTCAAAATGCAACACTGGGCCACTGTAGAGAAGAAATAAATTCATGGAGCAAGTTGGTTTTGTCAAAGGAAAAGGATCCCAATGGGACTATGAAGAGACTGAGATGAAACCACCTAAGATCTTGTTGGAATTTGTGCTCCTTCCTTCCTTCCTTCCTTCCTTCCTTCCTTCCTTCCTTCCTTCCTTCCTTCCTTCCTCTCTCTCTCTCTCTCTCTCTCTCTCTCCCCTAGAATTTTAACTGGACGCTCTTCATCCAAGCTGTGATGTCTTCCGTGAACATTGCGATCAGCCCCAGCGAGGAGGTAGTTGTGCATGGAATGCCCTACCTCCAGGAGCTAAAAGCCATCCTTTCCACGCATTCAGCCAGGTGGGGGCATTGGCATCTGTAACAGCGAGAGCGAAGCAGAATGGGAGCAAGAGAGAGAGCCAGAAGGACGGGAAGAGAAGCAGCAGTGGAAAGACACATTAAGGGAAAGGGGGTAACAGAATGGGTGGAGCAGCAGGGAGAAAAACACGGCCAAAAGAGAGAGAAGGAGAAAGAAGTGGAGAGGGGAACGAGAAAGGTGGGGAGATGGAAGGGTCGCTAAAACAGTCCGACAAAGCCAAACAGAGGGGAAACCGATTAAGAAAGAACAACCGTAACAAAATGAGAAGCAAGGGACATAGCAAAGGAAAGAGACAGAAATAAAGAGAGGAAAAGGGACAGGGTGAGTTGTTGAAAAAGTGGGAGAGGGAAGAAAGAAAAATGAAGAGAATGAAGGAGGATATGAGAAGAGAAAGAAGTATAGGTTGTGAAACAGAGTGGGGTGGCGGGAGCAAGAGAGAAATGGAGATGTGTATTTCATGTCCAGTTGCCAATCCCTGGTGTGCCTCCGTCCCCCAGGACCATCCAAAATTACCTGGTTTGGCGCCTGGTGCTGGACAGAGTCAGTGGTCTGAGCCGACGTTTCAAAGATGCCCGGGCAAGCTACAGAAAGGTAATTTCCTCGCTGTCCACACGGTGGCTTGCTTGTTTTCATGGCATTAAATGGTAGACCTTTCCCAGTGCGTTTTATACGTAATATCTTGTTATCTGTCTTTACACCTGCATAAATTCAGCAGTGAAAAGGACATAGACCATATGGGAAGTGCATTGCTCATTTTTTCCATGAAAGATGCCAAGTGTTGCATGTACCAACGTCTGTCTGTCTGTCTAACTCTGATTATGTATTGTCTTATAAATGAAGACACATATAAAATTCCCCCTCCTTATCAAAAGGACAATCTAGGAATGGATGCACTGGATACCCAGGGAAAGGGAAAGGAAATGGATTCAATGCTCAACAGAAAATTAGGTGATTTCTACCAAAACATGTATTTAGGCTTACAGCAGAAACAGAGGCTTATCTAAATAAAAGGAAATCCCACTGAGTTCAGTGGCATTTACCCCAATATGTGTATATAGGATTTCTGTTCTAACTGCAGCAGAGTATTAGGATTAAGTGGGTCTAGGATGTGGAAAGGTTTGAAGGGGGGTTGTTCCAGTCGAGATGGGAACCACGAGTGAACGCAGGGATGTCCAACGGGGTTGTGGCAAGGCCTGAACAAGAAAAGATGTGTTGACTCGTTTTTCTCCAAGGCACTTTATGGTACCATGCTGGAAGAAGCCCAGTGGCGGGAATGTGTGAGTTACGTCAACACGAACATGGAGAATGCGGTCGGAGCCATGTATGTCAAGGAGACTTTTGCTGGAAAGAGCAAAAGGATGGTATGTGGTTCCTTCCTTGCTTTCTTAGCATTCGGCCGTCTTTCTGCTTTCATTCCAGCTAACCCGGATATATTAATCGCTCTATGGTTCTTCAGCAATTGTTGAGATGACCAAAGAGTGATTTAATTCCCTTTTTTAGATTATTGTTAAGGCAGGGTGATGGCTTCTGTCCCCAACTTTGAACTGTCCTTCAAAGGAAAAGGAGAAATGTCACTCTCCCATCGCACTGGTGCTACTGTTGGTAGAGATGGGTTGTCAGTGTGAAATGGTTTAAGAAGACAGACTTGGTTTTCCCCTTTTAGGGTTGCAAATAGCTTCCCAATCTAGGATATTCGGGGCAGAGTCATTCGCAATGAAGCAATGTTGTTGATATGGAGGGTGGATCGACTCCACTGCCTCGGTCAAGCCTGTCATTAGGAAACAACAGCAAACCTTTTGCCATAGCCCTACCCTCTCTTGTTGGGTGTAGTCCAGACATTCTGGACTACAATGCCCAGTATTCTTGAGCATCAGCTGTGCTGATGGGCTGATGGGAAATGGGATGAAGAGGGTTGGCATGCAGAACCTCTGGAGGGCACCTGGCTGCAGAATACTGGCCTAGCCATATCCAGTGTTGTGTCTCTTAGTCACAGTGTGATCAATTGCAATCCATGGATGACTGGCTAGAGAGATTTTGCAAGCAAAGGAACGACTTCATTACAGCCCCGGATTCCTGTGCTGGGGGCAACGAGCCAGCATTGCCTGTGAGCTATGGATCTTCATTTTGAGCAGGTCGCTCCCTGCAAGGTGAGAATTCAGCCTCTCCATCTATCTTTGCTTTAGGTCCGAGACCTTATCGAGAAAATCCGCGAAGTGTTTATCGAGACGCTGGATGAATTGCAGTGGATGGATGAACGATCAAAAGGGCAAGCCCGAGAGAAGGTCAGAGAAAATGAGCATGCAGAAGGCTGTATTTAAGACGGGCATTTTGCAAAGTCGCCATCATTTGGTCATCTGGAAGAGAAACAGAAATTGGGAGTCCGGGCGGAGGATGGCAAACATCCCTGGAACTCCCTCAGGGAGACAGAAAAGAGCACTGGGGGGAAGACCTCTGACGGCCACCACTCAGAGAATTTTTATGCTTGGCTCTAGCTTTAGTATGCTGCAAAGAGAGGGTTTGTTTTATTCTGTCTACAGAGGGTACCCAACCCCACTTCCAGGCAGAGGTGGGAGAGCTCAGCTGTACATGTCGCATTTCAAAGGATACACACCTGGTGCTGCGCACACTCATTCCAACAGCACGGTGCACTTTGAGACGCATCGCACCGCATGTCTGTGCTCCGTGCCACACCCAAAAGCCAGCGTGTGGCCGTGAGGTGCGTGTGAAGGTGCCCGCATGGCGCTGTGCATACATGCACGTGTGTGGAGCTGTGCCTAAGGGGTGTGTGTTGAGGGGAACTGCAAATCTTCAATTACGTATATGCCTGCGTGTGGCACTGTGTGTGTCCGTGGTGCTTCTGTTTCACGTCGTGTTCCAAAGGCTTTGTTGGCCCTGGAACCCGACCTCCCCTCCATCAATCAGCAGGGCTGATGCAGGACACTGAACTACTGTACGTCACTCCCATGGGATTATTTTTGTTTATTTACAGTATTTTCACCCTGTGCTTAACAACGTCTCAGGATGACTTACAACATAGTTAAACCTAACAATAAGTAAACAGAACAAATACAACAAACATAATAACATAAAATAAGGTGAAATGTGACTAAGCATGACCATTAAAAACTAGTTAACATATTTAAATATTAAAATGCCAGGCAAATAAAAAGGTTTTAACCTGGCGCCGAAAAGAATATAACATTGGTGCCAGGCTAACCTCTCTGGGAAGCACATTCCACAGTCGGGGTGCCACCACGGAGAAGGCCCTCCTCTGGGTATTCACTCTCCTAACCTCCTTCAAGGAGGGTTCCTGGAGGAGAGCCTCCACCTCTGATCTTAAGGGGTGGGAGGGCATATAGGGAAGAAGACATTCCTTCAGGTGTTCTTGCTATTAAGGTATCCTTATTCTCTTGTCTTCTGCTGGGCTCCCATGAGAGTGCTTAGATGAAGGGCATCACCTCAGAATTTCACTCTTCTGGTTTACCACTACAGCAATTATTAAAATTGGGATTCACCAAAGCAAAGGACTTATTTAGACACTGCTGTGGATTGGATCCAGAGTAAACCAATGCTCCATGGATTTCACTAGGAGCCAAATCCACATGCCTTCATGTCGGCCTGCCCGCCCCCTTGTAGAAAAATAAGTAGAAGAATATGGCACCATCTGATCCTGGTGCAGGACAACCGCTAAGGTTGTCTGCCATTTTTTTTTCCATAGGTTATTGCCATTAAAGAGCAGATTGGCTACCCGGATTACATTCTGGAAGATCAGAATGAAAAGCTGGACCAGGAATACACACATGTAAGTGTGAAAACGATCACAGGACATTTGGTATTTTCATCAGATGGGGAGCTGGTATGCCCAGATTCTGTGTATCATTTAGATTCATTGGAAAAAATATCAGAAGGCAGAATGGCTCCAGGGAAAAATGTATTTTCTCATACTCCAAAAGAGGAAGAGAAAGTACTTTAGAGACTACTCTCCTTCTTGTTTTCTCATCGCCCCACCTGACCCTGGTTCTGTGGCTTCTGCAGTGGAGTCAAGGTGATGGCCCAGACTAACTAGCAAGACACACAGGAATAATAGTGGATGTTTTTCTGCTCTCAGGCCGGATAATATTGAGTATCTTTGCGCACAGTGCAAGACTGGTACACGCTTTGCAGTGTGAGTCATTTTGCAGAGTCTGGCTTCCTTTGCTTGAGTTATTTCTACATGGAAAGAGGGGCACCAGCCCAGCCTGTCTGTGCCTTCAGCAATATTTGTGTTTCTTTAGCTGAACTTCAGTGAGAATGAGTACTTCAAAAACATCCTGCAGAACCTCCAAGCTGCAGCACAGAAAAGCCTGAGGAAGCTCCGGGAAAAGGTGGACCAAGACGTGTGAGTGTCGCCTTTGCATCCTCTCAGGAGCATCAGCAATTCTTGCAGCCCCATGAAAATGCAGACCCGCTCAAGTCGAAGCACCAGACAGAAACAAGAGCACCAAAGAAAGACAAATACTCCCATTTATCTTGTTGAGGCACACGACTCCCGCAGACATGGCGATTAGAAACTAGTTAGCAACTTGTACAGTAATATGGGGACCTTCTCTGTTAGAAATGCATTGCAAGTCTTTCACCGGGATGCCCTCTAAAAAAGGCAGAAAGGGGTTAGCTCCATGACCTCAAATCAGAATAGCAATTGCATTTCAAATACATTTGATTTTGTTGTGCAAGGACATGCTTTGCTTTGGAAAGGACTCTTCCGAAATCTGTCCTGAAGTATTATTGTTGGTAGAATATTACTTCTTGCAAATATAAATTCTCTATGAGCTGGTATATTTTTGAGAGAAATCAGAGAAGAAGTGTCATAACGGAGTAGAATCCCAAGAGGACACACTCCATTAGCTTGATACAGCTTTTCTCTTTCGGTAGTCTATGATTTTTGAGTCGGAACCTGAACACTTCTCGTTTAAGTATTAGAAGGGTTTTCAATGCAATCCTAGGATAATTTGATGTGATTTTATGGGACCGTGTACTGGGTTGATTCTACTCACATAAGATGTACAAAATTAGATCTTGATAAAGGAAAATGAAGAGGGTATCAATGCTTTAATGCCTGAACGCATGTTCTGCTCCTCATAAATCCTAAACTGGTTTCCAGATACTTGGTTGAATATCCTACACAGGTTGGTGACCTCAGAATGTGATGCAAAAAATCTCCAAGCTGTTTCTAGAGCAGAATTGGCCTATCCATCGAGGGATACCTTATAGGAAATGAGCCAGTTGTTTGGCCTTAAATAACCTGGGAGCAGGACAAATATCACAGCCACCTTGAGTATAATACAAAGGGGCCATTGTTCAGTGCCCCCATCTTGCCTGCAGAAGCTCCTGGGTCCAATCCTGGACTTCTCCAAGCACATCATGACTAAGTAAAGTCACTGGTTTCAATGGGTCTACTCTAAGTGCAACTAAATCTGGAACTGGAAAATTGGTTTGCACACAGCAGGTGTTGAGTTAGTGGGCTGGGGTACCAGGCTGAAGCAAATGCAAACCTTTGTGTTGCTGGATATGCCAGGAGCCATACCCCCCTTCCCTGTACCCTTGTCTCAGACTACACTAATTCTCCATTGGCACTGAGAATTCCCTATAGCTCCCCTGTAGCCTGAAGTGCCTGGTCTCACCTAATCTTGGTAGCTAAGCAGCTCAGGCCTGGTTGAAATCTGGATGGGTGATTTAAAATGTTGTGAACCACCAAGAGAGTTTTGATTTAGGGCAGCATAGAGATGATGATGATGATGATGATGATGATGATGATGATGATGATGATGTTGATGTCGTCTCTCCAATTCCTTTCAGATGGCTAATTGGTGCTGCAGTGGTCAATGCCTTCTACTCTCCCAACCACAACCAAATTGGTAGGTCCAGTAGTATCCTCATACAGCTATGTGCTATCTCAAACCAGGCTTCTTTGAAGAAGGTCCCCAGATAACTCAGAGGGAGGCAATCCCAAGAGAAGAAGGAGCAGGGATTAGGACTGCAGTCCTAATACAGCAGCTCCCAGAAACATCGACATCCCTGATGAAGGCTCCGGGAATTGTTGGCTTGGTTGCCATGTTGGCCACCGAGACACAGGCTAGGCAGAAGGGCTCCTGGGAACCATGAGATGAAGGGCTTGGGGCTTTCAGAGAAGCAGAGCGTGCAAGACTTTGCGGAGGAAGGCTAGGACAAACAACACCGAAATTGAACAGCTTCCCTAGCGAGAGCCCTGGTGTCCATCGCCACAGCCCCTGGTAATATAAATGTAGGCCATCGTAAAACTTCTGGGGACTCGGAGTACCGCAGAGTCAGGATTGGGAGCCTGGCTGAAGAAACTAAGAAGAAAAGCTGCTATCCTGTCTTGGAGATGAGGGAGGGTCAGCTGATTGGAGAAACACGATGTTAGCATCACCATGGTTGGCTTGAATTTATTCTCTTGTCCAGAGTATGCCATGTTTGCAGCACTGAATGTTGCCTTGTGCTAAGGTCTGAATATTGATCCAGTCGCATCTCCTCGTGGTTTTCTCCTTCACCTACTACATGATCTGGTCAAACCAGGGACCAAACCTGGAACTTTCCTCAAGTAAAATGTAGCACATCTTAAGTCAATGCATCATGACTTAAGCAAAGCTTTTGATAAAGTGCCCCATGATATCCATTTAGCTCAAAGTGGGATAGATGGAGAAACGATCAGGTGGAGCCACAGTTGGCTACAGAACTGGACTCATCGACAGCATCTTCTCAAACTGTTTATTTTCTATTTATTTATTTATTTATTTATTTATTTATTTATTTATTTATTTATTTATTTAAAACTTTTATATGCTGTCCTATATGTATGACATCTCAGAACAGCTTACAATATTAAAATCAGAAACCACTAAGACAGTCAATAATATAATAAAACAATATATAACCAATAAAAATACACAAAAGCAACTGTAGAACCATTAAAATACTAATCTTTAAAATAACGATTGAAAAAAAAGGTTTTGACCTTGCGCCAAAAAGAATATAGGCTCGGCACCAGGCAAACCTCTCTGGAGAGCATATTCCACAATCTGGGCGCCACCACAGAGAAGGCCCTACTCCGAGAAGATGTCCTTTTTACCTCCTTCAAGGAGGGTTCCCAGAGCAGGGCCTCTCCCGCAGATCTTAAGGGGTGTGAGGCCATATAAGAAAGGAGACGTTCCTTCAGGTATCCCAGTCCCAAGCTGTTTAGGGCTCTATCGGTCAAAACCAGCACCTTGAATTGGGCTTGGACTTCAACTGGAAGCCAGTGGAGCTGACAGAGGACCAGCATCAGCAGCATGGCTTACTCTGTTCTGTACCAGCTGAAGTATCCGGATTGTTTTCAGGGGCAGCGGTTACAGTAGAGTAACTGTAAAAAAACTGGGGGTGGTAACAGTCCAGGGCCCAGTGCTCTGCAACATATTTATCAAGGAAGCACAGGGAACAGTTGCTCTAGTTGCAGACGACACAAAACTACCTGGGATAGCTAAAACCGTGGAAGACAGAGATAAGAGTCAAGGTGACTTTCCTAGGTAGGAATGCCGGGCTGCAAGCGACGGGATGAAATTCAGCAGGGACAAATGGCACGTTCAGCACCTCGGAAAAAGAAACCGAGGTGGGGAATTCTCGGCTCGACCATAGCGCAAGTGAGAAAGATCTGGGCGTTGTTGTTAGTCACAATATGAGTCGCCAATGTGAGGGGGCTGCAAAAGGGACTAATGGTATTTGGGGTGACATTAATAGAAGAGTTACTTCCAAATCACATGATGTTCTAGAACGACGCAGACAAACTGGGAAAGGTTCAGAGGAGGCTACGAAGGTGATCAGGAACCCGGAAAAGAAGCTGTGTGAGGAGACTCTGGAGGAAGTGGGTGTGTTTAGCCTTGAGAAGAGAAGACTGAGGGGAGAAAGGGTAGCTGTCTTCAAGGACTTGAACAACTGTCACACAGAGAAGGGAGAGGATCTCTTTTTAATCAGAGAGCAGGACACGGAACAATGGGCCCAGGTGGCAGAAAGCCAGATTCTGGCTGAGCATCAGGAAAAACTTTCCAGACTGTTTGAGCAATGTGACAATGGAAACAATGACCTCAGGAGATTGTGGGTTCTCCTTCCCTGGAAGCCTTCAGGACACAGCTGGATGGCCATCTGGTACGGATGGAGTCTTGGGAGAGACTTGGAGTCTAGGACGGAGCCAGATCTGAATCCTTATTGACCCGTTCTGGTTCTGCGTGTCTGTGATTCTGTGATTAAAGCAACTGCTCTGCAGCTGGGCTGTGGCTCCTTCCTGAACGATCTGCTAGCCGAGATAACAAGGGGCAAGCGCACGGCTGGAGAGCAATGAACCTCTGAAGTGGAGGGGAGTGGAAGCAGGAGAGGTTGAGGAAGAGGTCACAGAGGGAGCCTGGTGTCCCGAAAGAGAGAAAACAGGGTGACCATGACCCTCTCCTCTTTCTGGCTCAAGGCCAGTGTGGTGTGAGACACAACCTGCCCTCTGTCATCGCATGCCTTGGTGTCATCCAACGCTGGGTGGAAGTGGGTGGCAGTTTCTTTTGGAAACAGAGCTAAGGCCTCTCTTGGCTGAGGAAGGTCAGAAGAACCATCCTGGATTTGAAGCCAAGGAGCTCACCAGGCTCAGCAACCAGTTGCCACAGTAAGCAACCCATTACTTTCAGGAAGCCCCTAAGTGGGGCACGAAGCCAACAGCCGTCCTCTGTTGCCACCAGCCACCAGGTGGTGCCCAATGGCATAAAACCGCTGAATTTCAGGGTCATTAAGAAAAGAACCATTGATCCTTCTCCTCCATGCAGTTACGCATGTATGTATTTCTCTCTATGCCTCAAGATGGATCACTCCAAGTAGAAAAAAAAAATCTGTGGACTAGCAATTCTTACTTGCAGCCTACAAGGCTCGTATCTTGCATCCGACAACCTTGACGGCCGCATCACCACATTGACTTTTCTTTTCTTTCGTGCAGTGTTCCCAGCTGGAATCCTGCAGCCTCCCTTCTTCAGCAAGCACCAGCTGCAGGCGCTCAACTTTGGAGGCATCGGGATGGTAATCGGGCATGAAATCACACACGGGTTTGATGACAATGGTAAGGAGAAGTCATCAAGGGGGATGCCTTGATGCTGAAGGGAGGTGGCTGACACCGTGTGCACAGATGGAGCATCTGGGCATGCAAGTTCTGCATGACTGGACTGAAAACTGACTGGGCCACATCTGATGGACTCCCTGCACACAAGTGTGAACGCCACCCTTGGATGCATAGCCAGAAGTGTGGCTTCTAGATCGAGAGAGGTGTTACTGCCACTCTGTATGACTCTAGGGCGCCCACAGCTGGAGTATCATGTTCAGTTCTGGGCCCCTCATTACAGAAAGGATGTAGCCAGGTTGGAGTCGGTGCAGCGAAGGGCCACTAGGATGGTGGCTGGTTTGTAGGGGAAGCCGTATGAGGAGAGACTGAGGGAGCAGGTCTTTTCAGCCTGGAGAGGAGGAGACTCCGAGGGGACCTGTTAGCGACATATAGGTGTCACACGGAAGTGGGTAGAGAAATGTTTTTCCCTGTGGAGGAGGGCAGGATGCGTTCAATGGAGCAAAGTTTAGGGAACCAAGGTTCAGTTTGGATGCCGGGAAGTACTTCCTGACGGTTAGGACCCTGAGGGTATGGAATGGGCTTCCAGGGGAGGTGGTTGAGGCCCCACCAGTGAGGGTGTTCAAGGATAGGCTGGACATGCACATGGTGGGCATTTCGTGAGTGGAGCTGGCTGGAGCTGGGGGTCAGACTAGATGGCCTAGGAGACCCCTTCTGACTCACTCTGTATCTATTTTTCTAGGTGCAATGTGGGTCTACGTTCATGCAGATGCTCTGTTTCTGTGCATTGTGGAGGCCTTTCCCCCTCTTATTACAGTTGGGAATATGTCACATGGGGTCACACGTAGAACGTGCAGAAGTTCTCCCCGTGCAGAAGTTCAGCACATAGTGGAGAAACTGTGCATGTTCAGAGGCTTGGTCTTAATTTGCTTTCATAAGTTCCAAACCCGATACGCTTTCAGTGAACAAGTCTGGCAACAAAATCAGCCTGTGCTGAGGTCTTTAAAATAAACCACAAATCCCAAGGTACACATCTTGGAAAAGGTCATCTTGTCCCCTCTCCTGCTGGATTGTTAAAATCTCCCTTTTCAGGGACGTACAAAATTATTTTAGCTCGCCACTGGAAGATGCCTGAGGAAATGGCTTTTTAATAGCTGCTTATATTTTCCTCTCTCTTTTAAATGCTGCTATTTTTTCATGTTTTATTCTAGGACTCTAATTGCTTGATTTTATCATTAAAATTGCCCAGAGTTCTCTTGAAGGAATGCAGGATGGAAATGCTTTAAACAGATAAATAGCACTGGATCCAGAATGGGCCTGGAAGGCCAATCAACCTAGGGGGGTGGGTTGTATAACTGGGACATGTGATTTTGGAGACAGAAGGCTGGATAACTGCTTGGCGCACTCATTCGGGGGAAGACGTACTTCTGTAAAAATGGAAATCAGATTGTATTGCTAGTCACTAAAAGAGAATCATTAACTTTGGATTGCCTCTAAGTTTGTCTGCGTGTCTTGCCAAATCTCCTCACTCAGAGTCATAGAAACTTAGAAACAGAGCGAGTCAGAAGGGGTCTCCCGGGCCATCTAGTCTGACCCCCAGCTCCAGCCGGCTCCGCTCAGGACATGCCCACCATGTCGGCTTAGATCGATGGACAATAGCGAATATTCCCCTCCAGGACACTGACTAGTCAGTCACACCCCTTTCCAAGGTGCTCTCGCTTCTTCTGAGCTCTGTGCCCCAAACACGCCGTCCGTGTTCTTTTTTTACAGAGCATGCTGTGTCCTCATTGCCTGCTTCTGCTTTCTTTCCTCCTTAAGATTTTTGTTCCTAAAGAAGATATACAGTGGTACCTTGTCTCACAGACTTAATCTGTTCCACGACTGGTCACAACCCAAACTGGTTGTGAGCTAAGTCAAATTTCCCCATAAGGTTCGAGGTAGATAAGGTGAATCCATTCTATAAGTTTTTTTTTAATCACAAAAAATTGAAGCAAAGTGACAAACATAGAAACATAGAAACAGAGCGAGTCAGAAAGGGTCTCCTGGGCCATCTAGTCTGACCCCCGGCTCCTGTTGGCTCTGCTCACGATGTGCCCACCATGTGCACGTCCAGCCTATCTTTGAACACAAAGAACAACAAAGATCGCGCGCCCCCACTCCAAGCATGATCATGGCCATCTCACCCCCCCACGGCATGATCACGCCCCCCCCAAGCAAGATCACAGTCATCTCCCCCCCCCCAAGTGCAATTGCGGACATCTCTACCCACCCCCAAAAGTGCGATCATCACCCGATGCGGAATTCACAACCTGAGGCAATTTTTTTCTGAAATTTCTGTTTGCGACTCGCTTTGCTCATGAACTGAGGCATTTGTGAGCCAAGGTACCACTGTACAATACACACACAGTTCTGTATGAGAACTATGTTTCTGCTGACAAAGCATCCAAACCCAACCCATTTTCAACCCCATATCTGAGTGTATTCCACCCCCCAAAACCATGTCCAAATCTGCAATTGTATATAATGAATGCATGGAAACCCCATGCATTTTGAAATCCACTTTTAAATAAAATACACATCACTGCACATTAGCCAATGGCGGAAGGGTGTACTTTGGAAAAATATCGAAGGAAATGTGAGCTTTTCCTGCCTGAACAGATCAATGGTGCAAATAGGAACAAGGTGAAGTGGGTTCTCGAGTGGAATTTCAAGAAGCTCTGTGAGGTTCCTGGTTCTGCCTTTGCCCCCTGGTTCTGCCTTTGCCCCCTGGTTGTGCCTTTCCCCCCTGGTTCTGCCTTTCCCACCTGGTTCTGCCTTTCCCACCTTCTGCAGATCTTGAGTTTTCCCCCAGTCCACCAAAGGCTCACTTCTGCATGACCTTTCAGCATGGATGCATGGAAAATGTGTTGCCACTTGGATAAAGAACTGCTGATGTGATGCATGTCCCATGGAGCTGGAAGCTTTCTTAAGTTAGGGAGAACCAGGCATGATCTGAAGAAGTTTCCTTTGAGGGACATCTGCTCCTTTTGGCTTTCAAGTCCCCTCTTTAAAACCCACTCCGAGCTCAAGTTCTGATACCAAACCAACCCTAAGGCAGCACAAGATGTTCGTGACCGCTGTCCTATCTTGGGATCGCCGGCTTGGGAAATGGACCTCATGGGTTCTTATTGGTTTTCTTGTCCCCTGAACAGGCAGGAATTTTGACAAAGATGGCAACATGTTCGACTGGTGGAGCAACTTCTCTGCCATGCACTTCAAGGAGCAGTCGCGCTGCATGGTCTACCAGTATGGCAACTACACTTGGGACCTGGCAGGAGGTCAAAATGTGAGCTCCATCATGTGGGCAATAAGGGGAATGGGGTGCATTTCTCACAGCCATTTCTCAAAGGGAGCATCGCACCTCACTGAATTTGTGGGATCAGCAGCTCTGTTCTCTGACCCATCCTTATTAACGGCCATATTAGTGGGAAGCAGGGGCACGGCCTGCTTAGTGGTGGCCCTGTCTCAATGGAATTCTCCACCTAAAGGGGAAAAAGCTAACTTCCTTCCTTTCCATTTTGAAGGGTTTTGAAAACCTTTTATTTAATTCAATCAGGCCTTGTCTGAGTGGTCTATGTTCTTCTTTCTAGACTTGTGGTTAGCTCTTAGCTGACATATGCTTCATTGATTCAGTACTGCAAAATTTTAAACTGTTTCATAGTTTTGCTTTTTTGATGAGATGACTTGGAGGAAAATCATTTTTAAAGTCAGATATTAAAATTTGTCCATGACAAGATGCACTGTTTAATTGGCAGAGGGCAAAGCCACTTTGAAAATTCAGTCTTGCGAATTCTTTGACCTTCGCACCAGCATGGTCACCTAGGGATGTAGACCTGAACTGGTTGAAGATTACCCAATGAGAATTTCTGTGTGGGTATCACCAGAGCACTGGATTGTTGCCAAGGGCTACAGAGTAAAATCTGTAGCTTTCCCCAGCAAGAGCCATCATGGAGTAAATGCTGAACTGGCTACCAAGTGATCTGGAATCCATAGCAAGTGCAGGCAGACCTCAGGATTGTGAAAAGCAAAGTTGTGATGCAAGTCAAAGCCAGATTTTAAATGAGAGTTCACTGCCACGAGCCAATTAACCCAAGACACATTGCATAAATCTGTAGATGCTTTTGCTATCGCTATGGGGCATCAAGTCACCTCGGACTTATGGCAGCCCCGCGAATCCATGCCCTTCAGAATGTACTGCCAATATTACTCCGAATCAGGGACTCCAGCAGAGTAGAGTATTGGGCAGGCTGGTGTCTTGGTGTGTTTCTTCTGGTAGGTATTGTGAAACAATTGGCAGGCAGAAATTCTTGCTGTACTGTATGGTCTACTTGCTGTACTGTATGGTCTACTGTAAACCATCTGGTGATCTTTCCGTTGAACTTTACCTGCCTTTTACCTAATTCTCATGTGCAAATGTCATTGCTTGGGCTGCAACAGCATTGGGTCAACCAACACAACTGTTGATGTTACATGCCATCAAGTTGTCTCCAACTTATGGCAGCCCCATGAATGGATACCCTCCAGAATGGTCTTGGCAGCTCTGCTCGGCTCTTGTCAACTCGGGCTGTGGCTTTCTTGATGGAGTATATCCATCTCATGGTTGGTCTTTCCTTCTTCTTCTGCCTTCAGCTGTTCCTAGCATGATTGGCCTTTTCTTGGAGTATATCCATCTCATGGTTGGTCTTTCCTTCTTCTTCTGCCTTCAGCTGTTCCTAGCATGGTTGTCTTCTCCTGGAAGTCGTGCCTTCTCAGGATGTGCCTAAAATATGACAGCTTCAGGTTCATAATTTTTGCTTCCAGGACAAGTTCTGACTTGATTTGATCTATAAAATAATAACCATCAGACTGGGTCTTTGATGACCAGGACGATTTTACAGGGAGAAATTAGTTGAATCAAACACATGGATTTCAGTCCATCCGTCACATGCACTGAAGTGCAAGCCAATATGATGCTTCAAAACTGTGCTATATACCTCTTGATGGAATCAAACAGTGTTTGCTGTTACAGGTCAGTGGAATCAACACACTGGGAGAAAACATTGCTGATAACGGAGGCGTCCGTCAAGCCTACAAGGTAAATTTAGTTGTGGAAATTCTACTCCTGTATGTTTTGGGAGTTTATATATGCCTTGCTAGAATCTGTGGGATGAAAACTGCACGAGCAAGGTTTCCTCCTTCACAGAAACCTTGCAGAATAAATATCCTAGTCAGGGATGGTAAAGATGTGTGTTTGCTTCACATTTTAATTCGCCCTTCCTGAATCAGTATGCATGTGGAGAAGTTTTTCTTTGGCACATGCAGTGCAACCAAAACTGTACAAACTAGTATATATTAATGGAAAGGTGCAAAAAATAATCATAGAAAATCACAGAATAGTAGAGTTAGAAGAGGCCATGAAAGCCATCAACTCCAACTTGCTGCTGTTGCAGGACATCACGTTACACCATCCCCCTCAGATGCCTGTTCCAGCCTCTTTCTGAATGTCTCTGGTGTGGGAGAGCCCCCCACCTCTCCAGGCAGCTGGTCCCACTGTCGTATTGCTCCGACAGCGAGGAAGCTTTTCCTGAGGTCCAGCCTGAATCTGGGTTGTTGCAACTTGAATTGATTATTCTGTGTCCTACACTCTGGGATAACAATTTAATAGTTAAATAATTAATTTTTTATTTAATTTCTGAACTGCCCAATAGTCAGAGTTCTCTGGGCGGCTTACAACAACATGTGGTCTGAATGGGTGGAAACAACATAAAAATACATCGTATTAAGGGAACTTATTTGCAAAACACATGCATCTTAGGCAAAATGCATTTATGAAAGGTAAGCTGCGGAGAACTCTGTGCAAATGTCACGCAGCTTTAAAGGGTGCTAGCCAGATCCTAAGCTGCCGCCTCCCCATCTTACTCCTAAAAGCTAGCTTTCTGGTTGTTATCATGAAAGCAAATTTAACATGTGCTGATCTCAACAAGCACTGCTGGCGCCACCTGTTGGATAATGGCAGAGTTTCTCACCCCGAGAGCTCCCTAGTCCAAATACCGGTTTAGTGATGCCGCTTGGTGTTCTACAGTGAGCCATGGCTGGGCTGCCCATCACAAAAAGCCGCCCTGCACGGTTTCCACAGCATGCGGTTGTCCTTACATTTTATCCACCTATCTATTTTTAACAGGCTTATTTAAAATGGGTGGAAAAAGAAGGAAAGGAGCCGAGCCTGCCAGGACTGGATCTCACCCACAAGCAGCTCTTCTTCCTCAACTTTGCGCAGGTTTGGAGAAAGGGTAGTCCTTACAGAAGGGAGGGGACCTTCCCTATTGCTCCAACTTTGCATGTTTGTCCCCTTTCAGCCCAAAAGCTCAGAGTGGAACCAACTGAATAGCCCCAGTTTGGTCTTCCGGGCTCCTTCCACCCGTAAGAAATCCCTCCGAGTGTTTTCACCTTTGGGCTGCAAAACCACAGCAAAGACTTCTGCATGTCCACACAAGCATTTGATGCACACGTGCGTTCAGTGCACCTGATGCTTCTCTCCTTACACTTATCTGCATTAGCTGACAGGTTGCCTCTCCACAATGCCCCTGCTACACTCTGCCCCACCACCAGCTGGCCCTCTCTTGAGATGATGCACCCTGTAGTCTTTCCATAGGCTGCTTGTAACATCCAGGTTCATGGCGATGCAAGATGTTACTGGATGTCCTTCGTTGGGAGCCCCAGTTCAAGACGGCTATTGTCTTCCAATGCCCTGCTTGTTGATTTCTTGGAGTCATCTGGCTAGCACTGGTGGACATCAGAATGCTGAATCTGGCAGGCTTTTGATTGGATCCAGCAGGGCATCTCTTAGGACTCCGCAAAGCTCTGGAGCTTGAAAGAGGAAAGGGTGATGCCATTCAGAGTGAAAACATTCCCATCTTTAGGCCACGCATTCATGTATTTTCCCCATCAAATGTCAGGTTACTTTATAGGATTTAAAAGGACCTTAGAGGTCTTCTTACAACACCGTGGGGGCCTCCAGCTAGCATGGCTAATGGTCAGGGCTGGTGGTCTCCGCACATCTGGAAGATCCCATGTTGGAAAGGCTGACATGCTGGGAGAGGTGCGCAGAAGCTTCATCCCGGAGGTCCAGTGTTGGGGGTGAGTTCCCTGAAGCACACATCGCTTCCCAGCTCTGCTTCTTTCCTAGAGCGTCTCCAAGAGCCCCTCTTGCAGGGTGGTGTGGTCCCTGCCATATGAGTCTTGTTCCTAGAGCGTCCTCCTGGAGGTTCTATGGTCCCAAGGGCATCCTCTGGGAAACCAAGCTCAGCTATAGTTGAGGATCACTGAGGAGTCTTGTTCCTAGAGCGTCCTCCTGGAGGTTCTATGGTCCCGAGGGCATCCTCTGGGAAACCAAGGTCAACTATAGTTGAGGATCACTGAGGGTGACTGTGAGAGGGGCATGCAAGAGGGCTCAAGGAGCTGCGGGCCATAGGTTATGCACCTCTGCTGGAGAGTCTCCCTGTCCGGACAACTGGCAAGAAAGGAGACCTTCAGGATGGTGGTCTGGAACTCGCAGTGCAAAACTAAGGAAGGATAAGGATCTGTAAGGAGCGCGGCTCCCCTTCCCTTTTCCCTCTCCAGCCAGGTTCCATGAAACCACAGAGGCACTGTCCTTCGTTGAATTCTACAAGTTTACAACCAACTTAAAGCAGCATAGTAATCCCTTGGCGATGTGGGGATGGTGCCTACCCATGTGAAGGACTGAATCCAAACCAGAAGTGGGAGCAACCCTGAATCAGTCTGCTCTTCTGACCTGATGCCTCTTGATTGGGTCTAAGATCCCCACCTTGATCTTCAGCCCTCCCTGTTCCACAGCGTCTCTCTCCTACCCCAGTGTGTGGGTTTGGTTCCCACACTCTGAGTCACCTCACTTTGGCAGTCCAGACGGGTGAATTAACAGTCTGCCTCAAGGTAAATTTCATTTCTGTACTGCCCGTAGATGAAGCTTTCTGCACAATTCACAGCATTTAAGTCTCCCATCCAGAGGTCAACCAGGCCTGACCCTGCTTCGCTCCCAAGATCAGGCAGGATCAGGCATTTCAGCCGATAGGGAAGTAATCGTCTCCACATGGAGCTTTGCAGACCAGCATCTTAAGACTCAGGTCAACAACCATTCTGAATGATTCGATCTGGGTCACGGTTGTTTCTCTCTCCCTCTTCCGGGCTCCATTCTTTGCCTGCCTCTCAGGTGTGGTGCGGCTCCTACAGACCAGAGTATGCCAGCCAGTCAATCAAGACGGATGGGCACAGTCCGCTAAAATACAGGTAACTCCCTCATCTCCCCTCCTTCAGTCTCTTCGTGGGGCACTCCATGTGCCCACTGACCCAGTTATAACCACTGCCCACCACTGCACGCTGCTGCTTTCTCCTTCTTCTGCATCCCTTTAAAGCAAGTCTCAAATTAAAGGGGCTTATGCCCCGGTACCCATTTTCAGGGAAAGGATTTCAGCCTAAGTGCAAATACACAACATCCCACATGGGATCATGGTCACTGCTTAAGAAGTGCCGACAACACTACCCCAGCGTTGTCTTAGACCCATCTAACTTCCGGGTGTTGAAAATTTTATTTTCTGAGCTTGTTCATTGAGCAGCAAATTGGGCTGCTCAGGCCATCTCCACCCCAAGACTCATTTCTTTCCCTCTTGCTGTTTCCCCAGGGTGATGGGCTCCTTGCAAAACTTCGAAGCCTTTTCCGAAGTGTTCCACTGCAAGAAAGGGACGGTCATGCACCCCACAGAGAAATGCAGGGTTTGGTAACCCCAGCCCCAAAGACTCGGGTTTTCTCATTAGACCTCAGCAGTCTGAAACACCGAATTCATTCAGATTTCACCGATGACGTGCCTGGTGCTTAACCTTCTTTTTTTCCCCCGTTTGGTCGCGGTCACCGATTACTGCGCCACTGCTGTAATGGTGGCTGCTCAAGCTACAATCCTGACTTTGGTGGTTCTAACCAGGACTGGGAGCAGCTCTTGGGAAGGTCCCCGTAGGGTTGAATGTGGAAGTCTGCTGCAGGAAGGACTGCTTCTAAAGACGTTGACTAAGTTACATCCGGGTTTAAAAAATGGCTAGCTGTTTATGACAACACGGGGCAGTCCTATTTGTCCTCAAAGAGCATTAATTCATCAGTACGTCTTATGCTTTGGGGGAGTTGGCAAGACCTTGCTGAGCTGTTTTGTCCCTCTCCCACGGGGTTCCTTTGACAAAGGATGGGGTGAAGCCGCCCACTTCTGTTCGTTGTGCAATCTCGTTCCAGCCTGAAGCTACTTTGTGTCCTTCACAATCCCCATTTTTCTGTAGGAATAGCTTTGCTGAACTGTACCAAGAGTATATCTAAATTCAGTCTTCCCCCACTGTGACCAAAGCAGATCTCTGACGTTCACAAGCGGGGCATGAAATGAATGGCTTTTGCCTCAGAATTGCCTGTTCAACTGAGAAAGGGGGATGCACGGTGTAAAAATGGATAGCACTCCTTTCCAAATTTTCAGCCAGCCAGCCAGCCAGACCCTCCTCTAGGAAATACCATACCCTTCCCATCTCCTTAGTGCTCCGTCCCCGCCCACCCATTCAGGGCCATGCTCAGTCTTCATCTGCTTTGGGGTTTCAGGAGACCTTTTCTTTTCTCTTCATTTTTTCCCCCTTCTGGAATCTTTGGAGATCCTCCAATCATGAAATGCCTTCGTTTGCTCAGTGGAGCCATTTTGGTTTTTGGGATCAGTCCACTGGGATCTCCACTGGGGGGGATGGTTGATCAAAGACATGCTTGGCCACAAACCTGCCTCAAAATCGCTGGCATGCCCACATTTTGATTGGTCTTTAGGCCAATCCATCGCAGCAAACCGTCCCCTGGCACATTAGGGAAGAAACTTCTGAAATTCCAGGTGTAGTAGCAAAAGTGGGAAGTTTATCCTTTAAATTAAGGACAGACACCCCCGCCCCAATTTTTAGTTACTCATAGCTCACGTTCTTTGAAGCATGGGAGAAATCATTTTTGCTGCCATGCCACCAAATTTCTGCAAAATTCGATGTGAGAGGTGGCCAAGTAATAGCAGTCGCATAAAGACCAGGGGGAAAGCTTGGATGTTCCCCATCTCTGTCGATATGATCAGAGATTTTGCAAACCTTTCAGCAGCTCCTTCCCTCTTGATTCTCTTTCCTCTCAGTTCAATTGCACAACCCATCAAAAACAGCACCTGGCCTTGCTTTTAGCCAGGCGGTTTTCCATGGAGATGCCTTATGTGGAGTTCCTTCATTTCAAGAAGTGCCCTCAGCTGAATCCCAGGACCCAGGGAGGAGATGCTAAGTGCTGAGCTGGGGTCACATGGCTAGCCGGGCTCTCAGTCTTTAGACGCTATTCTGATCCCCCTCCTTAAGAATTACTGAAAGGGGATGGGCTTTTCCAACCGACACTGGGGGCGATAGATATCTTGGCTCAGCCCACCTTGGCTTATCCTGTACGGATGCGGCGTTCAAGGACCTCTGCCCGAGCTTTCCTGATTGCGTTTCCCATGCAACTCCAAGAGAAATGGCCGGAGAGGCTGCCCAACCGCAGGAAGGGGTGGAGGGGGTCCCGTGCGATTCCTGCACTCCAGCGGAGTGATTCTAACTGCCCCCGTGTGCTGCCAGCTCCCAACAGCTTGCCTTGCGATGCCTTCGTGGTGAACCGCTAAAACTTGCCCCCACCGTTCATTGAGTGATGACTTGTTTCTGAAGCCTGCCAGCTTCCACTGTAAAGTGACACTAAAACCCATGGATTCCCAGCACTGTGTGCCCTCTTTTCAATCCTTCCTGTTTGCTCGTTGAAATGTTAGTCTCCCTGGAAGCCAATCCAGTCCAAGGTGCTAGTTTCAGCTTATGGCCTTTGCGTAACATGAATACATCCGCTGTCAGAACACTGTAAGCAGGCAGAATGCATAGAACAAGTATACAAACTTCACCCACCCAGGTCAGAAAGAATATCACAAGCACAGCCAAGGACAATCGCATCCTTTGCCATCGGAAGCAGCAGTGCTAAGAACACTGCGTGCCAGAACATTTTTGACCACCTCTGCTAGGAGAGAAGATGCTTCTCTGCAGGATTCGGTTACAAAAATCCAACTGGTTTATTTAGCACCTTCAGCCGTTATAGCATTTCACAAAGGCAAAGTCCCTGCCCCAGTGAGCTTGCAATCAACTTTTCAATGCGGGGGCATCCACAGAGACGGTAAAGGCAGCTGTGCCACAGGTTCGCTTTGGCTCAGTTTCAGGCACAATACGATGTGTCACGTACAGGACCAACCCAAAGCAGAGTTCCTTCTCCATGTTGATAGGAATTTAGCCAAATTCACAGAGTTCTGCAGGTTTGGGAGCCACCCATGTTGAAAGGCTAATTTCCGCAAGATCCAGATCAGCTAGCATTCAGTCCTGCTAGCGTGGCTTTGGAGGTGCCTGATCTTTTCTGCAGGCCTCCCCATTTTAACTCCCAGGTGGCAAGCCTGTACAGATCAGCTTCCCCCCATGTTGGAATGCCAGTTCGCGCTGAATTTGGCTAGTGCGAAGGGGTGAAGACGGCATGCTGGGTGGTTTGTGGCTGGAATTCGCCACACTTTACAACATAAACTGGAAATGGCCGGTTTGCCCATCCCTGGACTTGAAGCAAGACGTCCCACAAAATGGGGAGGATCTGAAGGGAGAAAGGAAAGAGAAAGGGGATCCCACACAAGGCGTTCAGGATATCGGGAATCATGAACATGGGGAAACACGGGAGAACGGACAGAGTCTTTTGAAGATGCTTCCCACATAAGCCTGCGAGGGATCGCAGCCGCGGGCTTACAAGGGAGACGCATTTCACAACAACTGCAATTTAGTGTAAACGTAAGAAATGAGAGGCCACTGTCAAGCATAAACCTAAAAAATTAGAGGCCTGTGGGGTCTCAGTAACCTAATATTTACTGATGTGCTTTTTCTTCCTTTTCACGGTTCATAGGACTTAAAGTGCACTAAATTGCAGACATAGCATCAGCAGTATCAACACGAAGTTGCTATTCTGGTGTGAAATTAGATTTTGCTACACTGGGGTGACGAAAGGCAGTGTGATGTAGTGGTCAGAGTGCGGGATTATAGTTTGGGAAATCCAGGTTCCAAGTCCTGCAGCCATCTCGGCCTCACCTCCCTCACATCTAAGGATCAACGCGAAGGGTGGAAAAATGAAATCCAGTAGAAGGAATGTCGATCCACTGTCTTTTGCTGTAGGCTCCTTTCTAATATCGGCCCAGTATCCCAATGGCAAAAGGCCAACATTAGCAAGCTCAAGATGACGCTCAACTTGAGTCCCTCGTCCAGTTCTGGACACCTTGGTCAAAGAACAACAAACAGGAATATATTCAGAGAAGGGCAACAAGGCCTGGAAACAGACAGACTAGAATAACTGGGCATGTTTGGCCAGAAGAAGAAAAGTCGACCTTCACCATGGTTCATTCGGTCTTTAAAATCACAGTTGGTTTTCTGGCTTCTCCATATCACCAGGGTTTCTCATATGGTCAAAACCCATCGTAGTGTTCATGGTCCTGGAATGCAATTACCATAGAGTCTTCTGGAAAGGGTGGCAACTACAGGAGCCGCTCCAGTCACCCAGTCTCTATTGTTATTCTCTGCCTATTAACTGACACGGAGGCCAACATGGAAGAGACAGAGGATGTCGGCAGGGAGGAGCAAGCCTGGGATCGACTTTCAGCCCTGGTGGCTGGTGGGATACATGCCAGCAGTGGGAGGACTAAGAATCGAGGAGAGGGGCTGACCCAGTCGGTCTGATGTTTCTGATGATTAGTGACTTTTCGTTTCTTTTTGTTAGTTAGTAGAAAAAATAGTAATAAAACTTACTTAAAAAAAAAAAAAGAATCGAAGACGGAAACCACAAGAACGCAGCAACCACTTAATGGTCTGTCGTGGTGACCATGCAGGGCTGCTTGTCCTCTTGTGGGAAGTAGCGCTTTCCCTCCTGTGTGATTCAGGGGAATCACCTCCTCTCCTCGGCGAGGGCAGCCCCCCCACAGGGCAACAAGCAGCAGCACTGCCACCCTGGGAAAAGCAGCTTGCTCGTCTGCATCCTCTGCCAGCCTGGAGCTCAGCCTTCAGCGCGGTGCAGGATTGACCCCCCGGGCCCTTTCTGCCCAGCTTGAAGCTCTCTTCTGGGCCTGAGCAGGTGGAGCTCCCGATCCCAAGGTCAATTCCTCCCCTGGTGTCCCACCAGCCAAGCACGCAATGCCTGATGGGTGCAGTCCCTTGCAGCCAGGGTCCCTCGGCAGCTCAGCCTCGGTCCAGAGCACCCCGCTGACAGGGATGGGGTTTTCCTTGGTTTTGTGGTGACTCTCTGGTGCCCAGAATGTGCTTCCGCTTGTCCTTTCCCACCTGGAACCTTCTCCCTGGTACCTTCCTCCACATTTCCCTAGAAGATCCACCGTTTCCTTCTTCCTCTGCTTAGCCATGTGGAGGGACTCCTTCTGCATTCCGGGGGTCGGGAAAGGAGGACGGTCATGCCCAGACATGGGGGGTTCACTTTGCTGAAATTGCCTCCATCAGGTGAGGAAGGGACGGTTCCCTCTCAGCCGCACAAGGCAGCCAGCCGGTGACTCATGGTTCGTACGAGGGCTTGCCGAGGTTTTGTGACGTTTCTTGCTTAGGCGCCGCCATGTTGTCGTCGTGCTTGTCCACGGGGATATAATTGGCTTTTGCTTCTTCCTTTTGGGAGGCAAAAGAAAAGGAGGCATCACTCTCAAGACCGCCACCATCAGCCAACCCTCCCTACTCTGGGGCTGGGGTTTCCCAGCCCCAGACTCTGCTTCCAGATGACGCCGCTCCAGCGGAGGTTGCTTTGCTCCACTGGACAATCCACAGATACTTTCAAGAGCTCTGGCTAAATGGCCTTTTTCCTTCTCCACCCTTTTTCTAGGAAAAGGAACTGGAGGGGCCGTTTCCCCAAGAGGGTCTCAGGGATGGCCTCCAGCAGCTGCTGATACAGGGGACTTTCTGGGCTCAGGGTGTTTGTTCTCATGACCCAAGGAAGCTAGTCATGCTAGCTGCCTATTATCCCTGGTTTTGGAAGCAGAATGTCAGTTGCTGGTGAACATCAGAGTCCTAGAAGCATGTTCAGTCCTGCTTGTTGGCACCCCGTTTGGGGCACGGTGGTTGGGAACAGGGTGCTGGACCTCATAAACCTTTGGCCTGATCCAGGACAACTCATGTGCTGTCTTAGAGTGAGAGCAACCGCACTGGAGGATGTTCTGGGGGGGGGGGGGGTAGCAAGTGAGAGGGGCCGCAAGAGGAGCAGTGCAGGACTGGGAGAAGGGGGGGCCCCGCTTGGTATTCCTGGAGCTGAAATAAGGGCAGAGACAAGGGATGTCACAGAAACCCTCACATTCGTTTTGTATGGGCAGATGGGCAGAGCATTGAAAAGGGGCATCATAGTGAGAGGAGCTCTGGCAAGGTGATTGTGCAGATTGGGTATTTATTGCAGGGTTTTTAATTGTGCTTTGAAGTCATTGGGTTAGGAACAAAGAAACAGAGAAACAGAGCGAATCAGAACGGGCCTCCCGGGCCATCTAGTCTGACCCCCGGCTCCAGCTGGCTCCGCTCATGACATGCCCACCATGTGCAGCCTATCCTTGAACACCCGCACCGATGGGGCCTCAACCACCTCCCATGGAGGCCCATTCCACACCCTCAGGGTCCTGACTGTCAGGAAGTGCTTCCTGGCATCCAAATGAAGCCTTGGCTCCCTGAGTTTTGCTCTGTCGGAGCACCTCCTGCCTTCCTCTGCAGGGGAGAACAGGTCTCTACCCCTCTCCATGTGACATCCCCTCACAGACCTGCATGTCGCCAACAGATCCCCTCTGAGTTGTGTGCTATGCTTTAATTCAGGCTGTGTTCATCTAAGTTTGACTCCTTGCTGCTTTGAGCAGCATCATTTTGCTGGAAATGAGAAAAAAAGGAACGTATAGGATCCCCATGACGAATCCACTCACCTCTTGCCGTGGAGCACCTGTGAAGAAGAACGAAAACCTTTCTCAGAATGTTCTCAAAGGCACACAAACGGCAGCCTCAAGCATCAAACTCAGAGGAACCTTGGAGGCCCTTCACACATGCGCCCGTCTGTGCTTTGCACCGCTCAGCTCGGTTCCCGAGGGATCAACTTGGTGGTCAGAATGAGACATCCCAGGTGAAAGCTCAGAGAGGGTGCCTGCCTCGTGCCACTCAAGGTAGTACAACACGACTAAAACTAATCTGCGTTAATTTACTAATAATTAGTACTAATTCAGTGAATTAGCATTCATTGATTATCTGAATCTGACTTCAGCTCAAACAGTCTCCTGTATGCAACGATAACCTGAGCCAGGCCAAGCATCCTGCCTCCTTTTGCCGCATTCTTTTTTTTCGGGAAGTGAAAGGGGCTGCCCTTTCAGCCGATGTTGGAAGGAGGGGCAAACTTTAGGACCAGGGACAAGCCTGTTCATGGAGGCGCTGGCGCTGCCAGGTGTTGGCCTCTCTCGGTTAAATGTGGCACCTTCACCCCTCGTCTGAACTTGTCCTCCACAAAACCGTGGCTTCTAATTCCACTTCTGGTTTTGGCTGCCTTGGTCATCCTGCCTCTTAACTTTACTGCGAGTCCTGAGAGGGTGGGGATGGGGCCGCACACTTACCTCTTGCTTTGCAATTCCTCCATATCCAGATCACCACGAGAATGGCAATAATCATGAATATAGAGGTACACAGTGCAAGAATGAGTGCCAGGTTTGGCCCGGTAGTTTTGCAGGTCACGTCAGATGTGGAACTGCCGGCCCGATCCTCTGTCTTGCCTTCCTTACTGCAACTGAAGTTGGAAGAACAGACTGATGGTAAGATTCGGAAGCAAGAGGAAGACCCTTTGTGATGTGTGCCCCTCTCACACGCCTTCCCTCATAAACCCATTTCCTTCTTGCACAAAGCAGATTCTTTTCACGAGTCCCCACAAAAAATCGCTGCTCGGGATTTCACCTGGCGGCATGTGTGCTAGAGATGTTTCCTCTGCACAGGGACACTTCTGTGTGCACTTTCTCCCTCAGCACGGGGAGGCATGTTCCCCGGAAAGCCCGTGTGGCACCGTGATCGGGGTCACACAGGTCTCCAGAGCTCCAGTCCCCCGTGGCCATACAGGTCACCGGGTGACTTTGGCCGATTACAGACTCTCAACCTAGCCTACCTTAGAGGGCTGCTGTGAGGATAGTGGTGTATTATGGAAGCGGTCTAGGCTTCCTTGCAGAAAACATATTGGATACAAAGGTAACCGACAGAGATAAATGGCTTAGGACCTGGTTACCTGAAGGAGCGTCTCCTTCCCTATGTGCCCACCCCCCTTTAAGATCTGGGGCAGAGGCCCTTCTCTGGGAGCCCTCCTTGAAGGAGATCAGGAGGGCGACTACCCAGGGAAGGGCCTTCTCTGTGTGGTGCCCCAATTGTGGAATTCGCTCCCCAGAGGGGTGCACCTGGCGCATCACTTTATTCTTTTCAGCGCCAGGCTAAAACCCCTTTATTTTCCCAATGTTTTAAGATGTGATTGTTTTAATAGGGGGTTTATTGCTGTTTTGAAATTTTATTAGGATGCTGTGTTTTATTTTATATTGTCTTAGTGTTAAACTGTCCTGAGACCACGGTAAGGGATGGTCTAGACAAGTTCTAAATAAATAAAGAATAAACAAATAATCCATACAAGAAATATATAAATCACCTTGGTGTGGGACAGCTGGTTTTTGGTGCATGGAGCTGCTGAAAGCAACTGAACCCTGCCCCCCCCCCCCCCCGACACCATCCCTTCTCCACCTGCCTGTTCATCTCCTGCAGCCAGACGAAATTCCACATCTTTGTGGCTTTGCCTCAACCTCTCCCTCCTTCTCTCTCTCTCCCCACCACACACATTTTCCCCACATGCTTCTCCCCAGAGCTGAGCACTCTCTCTGAAAAGACAGTTTTGCCTAACATCTCTCCGATTTGTCTTTCCGCTTCCTGGGGCCTAGAAAAAGAAGGCCATGACGCCGAAATTTCCCTTAGCATCTGCCTCTATGTCCCTGAGGTGCTGCATTTATTCTCCATTTTTTTCCTGGCATCCTGAGAAAGGCTTCCAAACTATTTGCATACCACTGTGGATTCTGGGTGTCGGATTATCTGCTCTCCAGAAAGTGTTACCTGAAGTTCCGAAACTGTTGGATTGCAGGGAATCAGCCGGACAAGGATAAAGAGGCGACAGAATTCAAAGCACAAGATGATTATACCTACTCAGTCCAGTTCTTGCAAAAGGGGGACATCTCAGTCTCTGTAAAAGTTCCAGGTGGGCATGGTTCGTATTTTGTATCACTGGTTTCAGTGCCTGTCAAATAATGAGATATACCAAGGGTCTTACTTAACCATTTTGAGCCTTTTTTAGCCAGTGAGGGGTTCTTCTTGGACTGTCTTGTACTGTATGCAGCCGTTGCCGTGTTGCCTTTGTACTGAGCTAATCCTATCAAGGTAAAGATGCTGCAGCTTCGTCTTCCTTCTTTTGCGTATTCCCCCACCTGGGGTTTGGTCCCTGCTCCTTGCGGCATCCGGTTCCTCCGGTGCCTGGCATGCCTTGCTCCACCACGCCTTGGTGTCTTGCCTGCCATACCTTGCCTTGTTTGCCACCTTTCCGCTGCTCCTGAATGCCATCCAACTATTCTGCCATATGTACCTGCTTCCAGTTTTGCTTGTTTCCCTGGTTCTTGACCCTTGACTTGATCCTTAGGATCACAGAAGTTGGAAGGGGCCACGGAGACCATCTAGTCCAACCCCCTGCTGTTGCAGGACACCCAGTCACCCCACCCCACCCCACTCAGAGGGCTGCCCAGTTTCTTCTTGAATGTCTCTAGTGTGGGAGAGCTCCCACCTCTCCAGGTCCCACCATCCTATTGCTCTGACAGTGAGAAAGCTGTTCCTGATGTCCAGCCTGAATCTGGGTTGTCGCAACTTGATTATTCGGTTCTGCAGTTCAGTATCAGCAAGATGAGATCTTGACCTTCCTCTGTGCGACAGCCAAAACAGCCTCGTCTCCTGGTTCCTGACCTCAGCCTGTTCCTTGACTACAGCCCTGCCTCCGACTTCACTCCTGGACTTTGCCCTGTGTTTGAACTCAAGGTCTGTTGCCCTCCACCTTTAAAAAATATGTTTCCTGTTAAAGAAAATGGTCACACACATAAAACGTCAGGGCGACGTTTGCAGAGTTTTCTCTGTAGCCCTCCACCAATTTTCTGGGTGGCCACCATTCCCCGTCACTGGATGACATCAGCTCTGGGGCTTTACAGAGGATGCAAAACAACAGACAGGCTGCCAATACCACTGTGCTCCTTCGGTCACTAGCACAAACCCCTTGCTACTCTTGATGCTGATCCCCCACCTCCAAGAAACTGCTGAAGAGGTTCCCCTCCCCTCGGAGGACTCCGGTGAAGCACTCCACTCCCCCGATTCCCCAGTGAACAACTTCAGCAGACTCACAGCACGACCTTCCTACATCGCGCTGGAGAAAAGAGGCAACTGCCGGCATCGGCGGCACCATGTTCGCCTTACCACGCTGGGTGACCTTAAAGCCCGCTGGGGCAACTGCGTGTTTCTTGCATCCCTCGCAGGACCCCTTGCTAGTGGAAGCGATACAGAAGTAGCCTTTCTTGCAAGCACACACGGTGTTCTTGACGTAAGTGCATGGCTCTCTCACCCTCAGCTGGGCTCCTGTAGGGCACAATTATCAGAGGTATTAGTAGAAGTCGTAGTAGTTTTCATTTCTAGAGCCAAAGCTCTCTGGGCAATTTACAACAGCTTGCAATCATGGACCACGGTTTGGCAGGCAACCAATGTGTCCACAGGCTGCGCATCTTGGTCAGTTCTGCAGTATCTCACCTGTTTGATGAGCAGGTGAGATATCAAACAGTATCTCACCTGTTTGAACCCTGCCTAGAGGGCCACCTCACAGCCAAGGGGAGAACCATCTTCAGCAGGTACGGCTGCCCTAAATACAGAGGGGAGCAACCTCACTTCAGCCCGTCTCAGACACTTTCCAGGCTTCCGGGGCAGGAGGGAGTCACTCAGAAGATCCCAAACAAACACCTCCACCTGCAGCTTGCAAGCTCGCTGCCCATCAAAAATCCACCCCGCAGCTCCATTGAAATGTGGCAGTAACCCAAACAGAGCAGAAAAAGAAATATTTCTGATCTTTCCAAGGTGGCTGCTGGCTAACAATGTGCCAGGATGCAGGGGACTGTGGATGATGGCGTTTCCTCAGGGACTCCTGCAATGATGTGGAGAAGGTGGTGGACACAGCCAAGATGGCTTCACAGTGCCAGACCAGGGGGCCTGGGGATAAACAGGTGGGAGCTGGGCCTGATTCGTGAGGGCACTTTTAAAAACCCTTCCTTGGGAGTTTCGGGTTTAGGCCTGCAAGCCTAGCTGTTCACTCTCCTGGTGCAGAACAGAACACGTGTTTTCCACAGTTGCTTCTCTCTGTCTCTCTCTCACACACACACGCACGCACGCACGCACTCTCTCTCTTTCCCTTTACCTGAATCGCATGCCCGGCACCTCAAGCATCGCGACAGTCCGTTCGGATGTTCAGTGTACGTCCCATTGGTGCACGGGACGCAATGCGTGCTGGACAGGGCTGTGCAGTGTCTGGAGACTCTGTATCCTGCAGCAGAGTGATTCAAACGGGGGGTGTGTTACGCCTCTTCCGGTGGGAATGTTGCAAGGAATCCCCACCGGAAGGACTCGTTGCTGTACTTTACCTACCTATCCCACAGGTGGGGCAGCACTCGTGATTAATTTCATACTCCCACTCTTGACAGGTTAAGACTTTCTGGTGGAGCAGCAGCTGAGTTGCAAGGAGAAAGCGAAGAACCTTTCAGGGAAAGGAAAGAAGAGAAGGAGGGAAATCTCTTGGTGCTGTGTTTATTATTATTATTATTATTATTATTATTATTATTATTATTTTATTATTATTTAAAACATTTCTATCCCGTCCATTGCAAAACACACCTCAGGACAGCTTACAAAGGTTAAAATAGTAATATAATAATACGATAAAACGATAATTAAAACATTAAGTGTTAAGCACAGCATAAAACAACCACTTTCAAAGCTAAAGAAAAGGAGGAAAGGATGGAAGGGAGGGAGGGAGGGAGGGAGGGAAAGGAAAAAGGAAGAAAAAGGAAAGGAATCTGGAGCAGGCTTGTGTGTGGAATTCGGCTGGGGGTGGAGGGAAGCTCAGCTACCCAGACTCTGCTTTCTAGCAGTCACGGATGCTATGCCCAGCATTAGAAACATAGTCAGAAGGGGCCTCCCAGGCCATCTAGTCTGACCCCCGGCTCCAGCCGGCTCCACTCATGACATGCCTCCCATGTGCATGTCCAGCCCATCCTTGAACACCCTGACGGATGGGGCCTCAACCACCTCCCGTGGGAGCCCAGGAATCAAGCCCCTTGCACTGCACAAGCAGCACCCCCTTTCCACACCATGTGCCGAAGGAGGCTGGTGTCTGGGCCCCCCAGGAATGGTGTCCCAGGCATCTCTCATCTGTGACCTGCTGCCATCCTTCACGTAGCTGCAACAGGTTGCTGGTTGCACGACTGTGGTCCCACAAGCACCTGCGGATTTCCTCCTCCGTTTGGCAGGAATGGCCAAACTGAAGGCGGCGGCCATGGATCGATTCTGGAGGGATTCTGAATCGGGTTCATCCCACCTCTATTGTGGAGCATACGGTGGCACACCTGGAAGGGCATTAATGCCCATCCTTTTCTAAGCAAGCACCCAAGACAACGGATTTCCCCAAACCTCTTCTAAGACTACTGTTCCTGGGACAGAGAACTAGCAAAGCCCCCAATTCCTGGATCTCAGTTTCAATGGATTGATTTATTATAGTCATACACCAGCATAGACGAATGTAGGCCAACGCAACAGATTAATCAATGCTTTTTCCAATTAAAATAATAGTTTAAAATGAACTTAAACACAACAAAGTAAGGAATGGACTCTGAAAATTATACACAGGCACTAAAATGGACACTCTCTGAAGTAATACAACTTCAACAAGCTTCCCTCTGAGCACTCCGACTGGCGAATCATAGTAAACTACTCATTATGATTAGAAGCGAAATTTGCCAGTCAAAAAACTACATTCTCCCCTCTCACTGCCCTGGTGAGAGGGAAAGCTTACAGGGAAAACTGACTTTTGTAGACAAACCATGTATTTCTCAGCATGCCTCTTCATCCCAAGTTTTCCACCCATGTTTAGACTGGGATTTGGTCCTTAGAGCTTCATTTCGACTCTTTCCTGGCTCCAGCTTCTCTGAATCAGCCAGATGACCTTTCAGATGCAGCCAAGTCCAAAGCACGAATACACAACAATTTCAAACCATACCTTCAAAAATGCCATCTTGTGCTCCTTTGTCTCAGGGTATCAAGATTTATTTATCTATTTGTATGCTGCCCTTCACTATCATGTCTCAGGATGGCTTACATGATTAAAAGCTAAATGATAAAACAATCAATAGAGCAAGACAATAAATTATCAGAAGCAGAAATAAATCCAAACAGAATCAAATATAACAAAAGTGACTGTAACGGTAAAATACTAATTTTTAAAATCGCAATCAAATAAAAGGGTTTTAACCTGGCACCGAAAAGAGTATGGGCTCAGCAACAGGCAAATCTCATTGGGGAGCACATTCCATAATCTGGGCACCACCGCGGAGAAGGCCCTGCTCTGAGTTGATGTCCTTTTAACCTCCTTAGGGGGGTTCTCGGAGCAGGGACTCTCCCGCCGATCTCAAGGGGCATGTTGGCATATTCGGAAGGAGACGATTCTTCAGTTTTGCTTCGCATAGTGGTGAACAAGTCTTGCAAATACCTTCCTCTGAGCATTGAATCTGCAGTGCCCCCCAAAAATCAGTCCCATTGAAGATGTGTTCAGGATCTCCCTGCCTGGAAGAAAGCTCATTCCTGCCACACAGAGGTCACAAGGCCGTTAATCACACTTGCTCACAAGCCCAACTTTCTCTTTCCCATTAGTTCTGCAAAAAGGAATTGCACCAAGCTTTACAAGAATCCTTCGCAGTTTTAAAAGTTTGTTGCTCTGGAAACCCAAAACAACGATAAACAGACTCACTTCCTAAAGTCAGATTATTAAGAGAGTAATGGGTGCATTTGGCCTATTCATAATTCCATGAAACATTATAGAAGAACCCAAAAGCCCCATATACTTTCCTCACAGCATGTGGAAAGAGAGGGGGGATTTGAAGAAGTGGGGGTGAATTTTAGGGCGTGCTGCGCCTCCCAACATCTGCCACTCCTCCTCTCTTGCAAGGCCTGTCAGAGCTGCACAGCAGGGAGGCTTCCAGGAGAAGCAGGCGCCCTTTCAACAGGAAGGGCCATCAAAGGCTTCCTGTTTGGTTTGGGACGCTGCCCAGCCTGCGGCTCTCTTCCTGGCTCTCATCTATTTCAGAGTGTTCCTCATCTTAGAATGGCTTTGCGATTCAGAGGAGACCTCTCTGCCACAAGGCCTGGCGCCCGTTTATCGTGGGTTGCTCAGCCCCGACTTTCGGCTGGCTGGGCAGGAAAAATCATCAGGTGGGGACTTCAGCATGTGCTCCAGGCCCTGACACTGGGAACAACTGAAGGCGGAAGGAGAGGGACATGGCTGGGGAAGAGGTGACGGGATGGGGTCACTGGGGCAGTGGGTGTGAGCTGCGGGGGACTCCAAGGGATGGCGGAGGGCGGGAGAGCCTGGCATACTGTGGTTAATGGGGTTGCAGAGAAACATAAAAACAGAGTGGGTCAGAAGGGTCTTCCCGTGCCATCTAGTCTGACCCCTGGCTCCAGCCAGCTCCACTCACGACATGCCCCCCATGTGCATGTCCAGCCTATCCTTGAACACCCACACTGATGGGGCCTCAGCCACCTCCTGTGGGAGCCCATTCCACCCCCTCGGGGTCCCGACTGTCAGGAAGTGCTTCCTGGCATCCAAATGCATCCTTGGCTCCCTGAGCTTTGCTCCGTTGGAGCGCCTCCTGCCTTCCTCTGCAGGGGAGAACAGGTCTCTACCCACCTCCGTGTGACACCCCCTCACATACCTGTATGTCGCCAACAGATCCCCTCTGAGTCTCCTCTTCTCCAGACTGAAGAGACCCTGCTCCCTCAGTCTCGCCTCATACAGCCTCCCCTGCAAACCGGCCACCAACCTTATGGCCCTGCGCTGCACTGACTCCAACCTGGCCATATCCTTCCTGTAATGAGGGGCCCAAAACTGAGCACAATACTCCAGTTTGTGGGCGCACCAGAGTCGTATAGAGTGGTAGTAATACCTCTCTTGATCTAGACACCACACTTCTGGCTATGCAACCAATGGTGGCGTTCGCCCTCTTGACCACCGCATCACACTGCTCACTCATGTTTAGCCTGCAGTCAACCAGCACCCAAGGTCCCTTTCACAAGTGCTGCTCTCCAGCCACTTGTCACCTAAACTGTACTTATGACAGCTATTCCTATGCCCCAAGTGCAAGACCTTGCACTTATCCACATTGAACACCATCCTGTTGTCTCCTGCCCACTTCCGTAGTCTGTCCAGATCCTTTTGGATCTGGAGTACCTGCTCCTCAGTTGTGGCCACTGCTCCAGTTTTAGTGTCGTCTGCAAATTTGATCAGCAGACTGTTCACCCCTTCTTCCATATTGTTAAAAAGATTAAACAGGATCGGCCCCAGGACAGAGCCCTGGGGGACCCCGCTTGTCACTGGCTGCCATCCCGACGATTCTTTGTGACTGAACAACAACGACAACTGCGGAATGCTTGGGAAATGAGTGGTGATTTTCCCCGTTGTTTAAGAATTATTGAAGCTTGGATTATTTCTGAGCTGGGCTCCCCATCCTGGGTTGGAAGGAAAAGGCGGGACTCCCTGGGCAGCCTGCAGGGCAAGCATTAAGGAGGGCTGAGCAGAGCCCTAACAGACGTTTGAGTCAGCGGCAGCCACAGCATCTCTGGGGACGGCCAGACCACATCCCACTGCTGCCTCTGGACCTGTTGCTACTCTCCCTTGCTGTCTCTGCTGCCACCCATTCACCGATCCCCTCGGAGGAACCGAGGAGATGGCGCTGCAGAGCATATGTGGATGGGGCCCAAGGGAAGGTATATAATGGCGACAGCAGGGAAGAACAGCTGGGCCCACAAAGGGAGGCACTGTCATGACCCCTCCAGCTCCTCCAGAAGGGCTCCAGACCTATCAGCCTTCAGTGGGCTTTACCTCCCTGCTAAGACAACATCCCCCTATTGCTTTAGGAGAGAGTTCCGGCCATTTGGGACTATCTAAGGTCCTATTTTCTTTCAGGCTTGAGCTGACTATCTTCTGGTTTCTCAGGGAAACTCAAGCATCTGCAGAATGAGACAAGCCCTTGGCATATCCAGTTGAAGAAGAAATCTGGGGAACTTTGCTAGGACAAGAATGAGAACAGCCACATCACTTGCGGTTTCAGGCTGACTGTTGGGCTCACTTGGGCCTCATGTATCAGTCAAGTTACACAAGGCTACTTTTTGCAACCTATCAACCCTGAAGGAGTTAAAGAAAGAGCAAGCTGGGACCAGATGCTTTGCTAGCAATTTGGTAGCCTTCCCTGCAGAATTGTTTGCATGTCTAATTAAAAGTGATAGGTTACAATTATTATTGCATCAGTATCCCTATCCTTCTTCCTCTTGCAAGGAACCTGCAGCGGCTTATGAATTTCTCCTCCTCTCCATTTTATCTTCACAACAAGTAGTGACTGGCCTAAAATCACACACAGTGGGCTTCACAGCTGACCAGAGACTGGAACTGGGTCTCACTCTAACCACTACTTCACACTGGATCTCAGGTTTCTGAAGAATGTGCAAAGTGTTTTACAAGTTGAAATATGCAGTCAGTCTGACGTAAGTACCACCAAGTCCTTAACTGTGGGATTTCGTGGATGGTTTGTTTGTATTATAGGAGTTTTGGCTCCTTGGACTAGAAGTACTAGAAAACTATTCTAGTTTTCTCTTTGTGGACAAGGTTACGGAAGCAGCCAAGATGAGCTCCTGTGCATCATATCCCACCACTACACTGTTCCTTATGTGTCTTGTGAACGGCCCACAAAAGAACCAGGAGTCAGGACACTTTCTGGCAGCTCCGTGGTAGAGCTGGAGAAACGAACCTTCACTAATGACCTCCTTTTGATGTTCTTCACACAAATCCAGGCACCACAAGCCAGTTTCCCTCCACACACACTTCCTCAAAGTAATCTGATGGACTGATTCAAGCAAATCCATGCAGGGCCGTCACCACCAGAACGCAGACCAGGCTGGGAAAGCGAGCTGCTGGAATGACAGACGGAGGCTTCCTGGGGAAGACGCCCCATCTAACACTGTGCAATTGCCTTCTTGCACAGAGTACTAGTTTTAACAGGGAGTGTGGGATCAGAAAGCATCGGCCATTCTCTCTTTCCTCCACAAGATGGAACTCGCTGCCTTGTTCATGCAGCAGTTCAAACAAAAAGAGAAAAAAAGGCATTGTAAACAAAAGACTGACCTTTGAAAGAGGAAATTCCTGGAATAGGTTCAGGAAAAGAGGCCCCTGCCTTGTTTAACCTAAAAGGCGTCCATCCTGTTTAGATCCACTGAATCAGACACACACGGCCTTCTTTTTCAGTTGATAGATGGACACACAGATGCTGAGAGGCAGAACAAATGCAAGCCATGTGACAAGGAAGCGAGAAGGTGTAAGAGGCAAAGTCCAGATCACTGATGATGTCCTTTTTCTAGCTGTGCTCTGCAGATTTAAGGCCCATGTGGCAGCGGCAAAATCACAATGCTGAATAAGCCCAAAGAAATTAGGAACAAGTTTTCTGAGAAATCCTAGTTCAGCAATCACATGCTGAAGTTCTTCACTTTTCGTGGTGGTAGTTGAATTTTGTTGGCTCTCTAGATCAGCAGTGCAGCATCCAGAGGGCGGGGGGGGAATAGCTTCCCCGGCTTTCTGCAACATTCCCAGAAAATCCTCTGTGATCTCACATGTTTAGGGCTGAAGATCTTCTGGCTGGGGAGAGAAGGTCTGGCTGCATTGCTCCCTTCTCCCTTTGTATCCATTCCTGATGATCCTATGAAGAATTACTTCTTAATTCTGACAGGGACCGAGGACTTCAGCATTGGGGACCTCTTAAGATTCGAGAAGTGAGAACCATTTGGATCAAAGATGTTGTCATTTCAGAACTCAGACCTCAAGAGTTTTCAAACTGAAGATGCTTGGCAGATTCAAGCAAAACCTCCAGACCCAGTTTCCATCCCATGAGCAATATCGTCCAAGTCTTGGGTGTGAATCCCACTTCAAGCTTTTTGTAAGTGAAGCCCCCAAGAAGGGAAGCAAGAGGGCCTTCTTGGTTGCCATCCCAAGGATATGGGAGTCCCTTTGGAAGCAAGCTGGGTTGCCCTCTTCTCTGCTCTCCTTCCACCAGCGGGAAAATATATTTTTTATTCAGGCAGGCCTTTGCCACACAGAAAAAGTCTGTCACTGGAGCAGGTTTCTGTTAGCTGGTGCTCTTTATTTCTTGCATTTGTAAGTTTCCCATGTAATTTTTAATGTAGTTTTAATTCAGATTTTGTTTGTAACCTCTCTGTTTTTGTTAGACACTCTGGAGATAGATGGACAGGCAAATGCTATTTTGTGAAGCAGCACTTCCAGAAAAAGATAAGTATCCAGTCCCCTCTACTCTGCACTAGTCCGACCTCACCTGGAGTACAGTGTCCAGTTTTGGGTACTCAGGTAAAAAGGATGCTGAAAATCTGGAGAGAGTTTAGAAGAGGGTAACAAAGATGATGCGGGGCCTGGAAACTCTTATGATGAGAGCCTGAAAGAAGTCGCCTGGTTCAGGCTTGAGAAAAGACGATTACGAGGTGATACGGTAGCATGCCAAAGGTACCTCACAGAAGAAGGAAAATACTGCTTCTCACGCACCCCAGAGTGCAGGGCGGGGAACCATGAACAAACTAGAGTGCACTGGGTGCAGGCTAGACACAAGGAAGAAATTCCTGACTGTCGGAGCAATGCAACAGTGGAACCAGCTGCAGGAGAGGTGGTGTGCTCTTCCACATAAGAAGCCGGACAGTCATCTGAGTAGCATGCAGTGCTGGTCCTACACAAGCAGGGGGCTGGATCTGATGGTTTCCTTGGCCGCATTCGACCCTACTACTCTGCGAAAGGGGAAACAAGCTAGCGTGGGAATACGCAGCCTTCCGTGTCACAGCAGTACTCCTGCTCTGATTCCACTGCACAACCAGTCGCTTTCTCTTCCACTTCTGAGAAAAAGTAAAGACATGGAGGAGCCTAGAAACAGGAAGAGAGTTGCAAACAAACCCAGCTATGTTTCTGGTTCCTTCCACCATCCCCTGCCCATCCTGACAGGCTTTCCCTGCAAGTCATCACACTTTCTCAGGAAAATAACAATCCTTCCTTGCCAGCGAAGAATGGGTAATTAAACCATGAGGCTTAATTATTATTATTATTATTATTATTATTATTATTATTATTATTATAACATTTCTATGCCGCCCCTTGCCGAAGCCTCGGGGCGGCTTACAACGCAATAAAATACATTGAAATGCAATAGAACATAATAAATTACCATTAAATACAAAAATACACAAAATACACTGAGTTACAAACATAATAATATAAAATTAAAATTATCAGTATAAAATAAGTAAATAAATAATATAGGAGGAGAAAAGAGAAGGAAGAAGAAGTTGCCCTGGCCAGATCATATGAGACACTGTGATCCCTTTTTATTTCACCGCCTCCTCCTTTCTTTCATTTTTCATATTTGATGGCACACTGCTTGGAAGGTACTTTTTAACCATAAAAAGTCATGGCTTTTTCAAAGTCATATGGCCTTAAAAAGCAAGGATAAGTTCATGAAAGTTCAGCACTGATGTCATAGACCAAAATTCAAGCACCAAGTTTGCAGTTTCACATTAAGAATGATTCTAAGGGAGGAAGTCGGGATCCTACGCACAGATGGAGCGTCGTCGAGAACGCATTAAAAGCAGATGCAAAGCCGCACAAAAGGAGCCCCGACAATGAAGGCAGTCCATCCAGCAGGCTGCATACGTGCGTTTTCTTCGCTGCTGCCATGACACACGCACACAACACGTACCGTGCTGGGTTACAAAAAGCCCTTTTGTGAGAGTTTCGAGAGTGGTGGGTGTGTGGCGGCCAAAGTGTTAAAACAACAGGAGGGACGCTTTGGGACATGTCTCCCGTGAGGTTTTGGGGACGCCTTGAAAGTCCTGGACGTACAGCCTAAAGCACCTTTCTTTTCTCCCCCCAGGGCTGTCTGAGAAAGATAGCCACGCGTTCATCGAGGCCAAAGTCCCAAGCCTTGAACTTTGTCTCACTTTGAGTACATTTCTGTTCTGAAGAACAGTGAGTACAAGACAAGGTCATTTGAGGTACAAGAACAACAGTTTCTAAGAGTTATTTCTTACTGTCTTATTTATCATGAACCGACGATGTTCAAAACTAACATTCGCACCCTACCCTCCAGCCGAAAAATTCCTGTTTCTCAAAACGTCCAGCAACCATTTGTTTTGCTGTCACTGGATCCACACTAAATCATGCGCTAAGACGCCTGACCAAACTAAGAGGAACTTACTCGGAGTTTTCAGAAGTCTCTCGAGAGGCCATGGAGGGGGCAGAGTGCCTGGCTTCGGGGATCCCACAAGCCCCTGGGGATCCCCCAAATTAAGTGGGGGTGCTGCAGCTGCCACCCAGGGCCCCCTCCACGGTGGCGCGGAGGTGTGGGTGTCGGGACCCAGGAGATCCGGGTTCAAGTCCTCACTAGACCAAGAGGCCTCCTGGGTAATGTGGGGGCAGTCGCTCCCGCTCGGCCTCACCGGCCACCCCGGATTCCTCACAAGAGAAAAAAAGTAAGGCTGCGAAGCGAGCGGTCGGAGCTTAAGGAGAACGGAGCCGCTCCCTGCCCGCAGCTCGGCTACGCGTCCTCCACTCGCGCAGGGGGAAACGAAGGAGCAGCTCCAAGCTGCAGCTCCAGGCGCACCCCCGCTGCGCGCTCTCCCGCCCCGCCCTCCCCAGTTCGACCAGTTGCGCCCAGCCTGCCCGGGCCCCGGGTGGCACTCACCAGGGCCATGATCCCAGCACGAGCGTCCCGCCAGCCGTGAGGAAAGGGGCGACGGCGGCCCTCCGCCAGCTGTTACGCGCTCGCCCTTCCTCCGCCGCCCCTGCGCCCGGACGGCTCCCCACGGGCCACCTGCCGCATCTCGGCGTCCCCAGCCGGGGCCGGCCGCTGCCTCTCCCTCCGCGGCGCTCCAGAGGAGGGGACGCGGGCCGGGGCGAGCTCCCGGGGGGTCGCGGAGCCGACGGGGCCGTCGATGCGAGTCCGCGGAGTGAAAGTGAAAGGAGAGCTGCGCAGCGAGACGTGACGGGAATGCCTCCCCCGGGAGGGCCGGGCCGGGCCGGGCCGGGCCGGTCTGGGCGCTCGGCTGGCCCCTTCCGCCCCGAGGCTGCCCTGCGAGGCGGGGGGCTGCCGGGCAAGTAAGAGGCGAGCGCTTTTGCCCCACTTCCTGCAGGGGAAGCCGCTGCCCAAGCTGGAAAAGTACCTGGCAGGGAGAGCGCTTCCAGCGCAGCGCAGCGGAAAGAGGAAACGGATGACGCAAAGGAGAGCCGAGGGGGCGCTGAGGCAGGGCGGGGAGGGCGACCCGCCGCAAAGGTGAGTGTTCTGCGCGCTGCTGCCGCTGGAAATGCCGGGATAAGGGTCATACTTTCTAGAGGAGCCCGGAAAGCTCGCCCGAGGCGGGGGGACCTGGTGCCGCCTCTTGGATCTGCCGCCCGGGGGGCCAACGTGGATGGGCCCCTGTTTGGGAGGTCCCGTAGCTTCAGCCTCGGACAGGACAGCCCTTCCAAGAGAAGACTCCCCTCCGCAAAAGCGGACGACCCTGTTAACCTGAGCCCCAGGATGACGCCTCCTTTCCCCGAGCGAGCCCTTCGCCCCGAGTGCCTCCATCCCTGGTCTGTGCGCCCGATCGAAAGCAGAGGGGCTTCTTTTGAGGAAGGGGCTGCCTCCTTTCCCAGAGAAGCGATCTCCCCACTTCCTTCCCGAGCTGGAGCTCGGGAGGAGGGGTCTGCGGATCCCCCCTCCCCAGGCGCGTCCCGGCAAGCGGGGCGCACGCGTCCCTGGCGCTGCAAGGGCATTGGAAGGGGCTTTCCAGCAGGAGGCAGCAGCGCGCCCTGAGTTTGGGGTCCAGTCCGCGGAGGGGGCGGTGAACCCCTCAGGGCCCCGGAAAATGATCGAGGCGGGTGGCAGGTGAGGCCCGGCGGCTGTCCAGGCCCTCTCACGCCTGTCCTCGTTTTAATCAAAGGGGCTGCATCCGCCCTGCCTTCCCAGCCCGTCCTGAAGAGAGAAGTCACAGCTCGAGGCTGCAGGCCGGCGTTTCCTTGCCGGGGAGGAAGGCTTGGAAAGTTTTGGAGCTGGAAGATGGAGAGCCAGGCTGGAGGAGCTCCCGGCTCATAGACACGCGCTTGGATCGCCACGTGTGGCGTTTCCATGGCCACGTGCCCCACGACTTTGTTCTCTGTCTCACAGCAGGCCTGAGTTGGACAGTCTGGCCGAAGAGACCATGCGAAGGAGGCAGATCTGTTCGAGGATGCCAAAGGCACCTGGTGAAGAGAGGTCCTGTGTAGGATTGGCAAATTTGTGACCAGAAACTTGAGGTAACTTTTGAGCATGTCAAAAGTTATTCCACTCCTCAGGAAAGCTCTTTTTGTAAAGTAGGCTTGCTGGAAAGCCTTCCTCTGAGCATGTGTGGTGTATTTTCCTTTGCAGGGAAGGCGGAATACTTGCATCCAGAGACTGGCTCGTGGCATTAATCCTGCAATTCTTATACACTTACCTGAGAGTGAGTACCATTGAATTAAAGGCTTGCTTCTTCTGGTTAGACAATTACAGGGTTGCATTGTGGGTGGAAAAAAGCCCTCATTTCCTTATGAGGCTCTCCACTGTGAGTTGGTTACAAAGAATGAAGATCACCTACAAACCAAAGCAAGACTAGAAGAGGCAGATGAGCACCAGAGAACAAGTAATTCTTGCTTCGCAGTTTTATTAGCAAGGGACCCAAATAGGAGAGCCAGATTAGACATGAAAGACAGGGCGATGTAGTGGTTAGAGTCCTGGGAACTCAGGGAGGTCGTGGGGGACTTTGGATCAGCTCCTGACTCTCATTCCTCACAGGGTTGTTGTGAGGATAAAATGGAGAGGAGGAAGATGCTGTGGTTCTTTGCAGGAAGAAAAGATGGCTTTTAAATACAGGAAATATATAGCAAGGAGCAATTTGTCGATCGTTTACCTGATCACAAAGCAAAAAGAAAGTGTGGCTGAAGGAAGTGGAATATTTATCCCTTTGGTGGCTTCCCTCCTTAAAGCCCCTTCCCAGAATTGTTTCCTCCCACTCTTCTTGGCACTGAAAGCGTCTACTGAAGGATGTGGTAAGTAGCGGAATCTGAGCCTCTTCAGGTTCTTTGAATTCCACCTGGAAACTTGTCTCAACTCATTTCATATCAGATTGCAAGCTTTGGAGAGGGGAGTTTGCAGGAAAATGCACGCATATTTCAGTGTGGATTTTCCAAATGCATGCCTCCGTCGTGCATAGTTTTTACATGTGTGGGTCGTCCCCAAAGATTCAAGTAAAAATCATGCCTATTTAGTAAAAGCAGAAAGCAATGCCTCTTTCCAAGGGTGGACGTGTTTAGCAAGGGGCGAATCAGCAAGTCAATTGGTCAGAGATAGAAACATAGAGACAAAGCAAGTCAGAAAATGCCTCCTGGGCCATCTAGTCTGACCCCCAGCTCCAGCCAGCTCTGCTCGTGTAATCCCCTGCCTGTGGCTGTCCAAACTTTCCTTGAACACCCTCACTGATGGGGTCTCAACCACCTCCCATGGAAGCCCATTTCATATCCTAGGGCTCCCAGCTGTCGGGAAATCCAACCTGAAGCCTCGTGCCTTGAGCTTTGCCTCACTGGAACACATCCTGCCCTTCACTGCAGGGAAAAACAGGTCAATCTCTTCCACATGACCTCCCCTCACATACCACGAAGTCACTACAAGATCCCCTCAGAGTCCCCTCTTCTCCAGGCTGAAAAGACCCAGCTCCCTCAGCCTCCTTCCCAGCCTGGCTACCATTCTTGTGACCATAGGTCTCCAAATTTAATCTCAAATTGGCCTTTTTCTAAACTCTGTTTGTTTGTTTATTTAGTAGCTTTTTATCCTGCCTTTTTTCTTCTCTAAAGAACTCAGCTTACATTATTCTTCTCCTCCTGCTCTCGGTCTTGCCCCCACAACAACAACCCTGTGAGGTAGGTCGGGCTGAGATTCTGTGGCTGGCCCAAAGTCACCCAGCTGGTTCCATGACCAAGCAGGGACTAGAAGCTAAATCCCCTGAATCTCCATCACTCTCTCTTAACCACTATATCACACTGTCTCTCAGTTGCAAGATTATTCTTCGAGCAGGCATTATTGAAAGCACCCAAATGTGTAATTTCTCAATTGAACAAAACATAAAGATGCAGATTTTTCTAGCCAGCATCAGATCAGCGATCTATACACCTCATTCACAAATATGCTCACATTCTCAGCTCTGGTTCTTCCATCAGATGACCCAAAATGGAACGCCCAGGCTGACACACTAATTTTAGGAGCATTCAGATATCCCAGGTTCAGAAATATGGACTTTAACCTCTGTGGTCAAGGGAGTTTTCAGGATGTGTAGTCACAGGTCGAGAATGAGCAGGACTAGTTTTCTCAGCATCCCCACATACTCCCAGGGTGCAAACAGGAACTGCAACTTTGGGGCAGAGGAATTGTAACTCTTCCCACCCACGTGCTCCTTTCCATGTGAAAACCAAGTGCAAAGATAACTGGTGCTCTCAGTCTCATTCCTCAAGAAGAGGAGAACCACGTTGCGCTCCCATTTGGAGGTGTAATTTCATGCTAATAAGAAAGGGAGATTTAAAGTACGCAGAAGACTTTCTATTTTGAAGTGTGGGAGAAATGGCAGGTATATATTCAAGGTGCTGGCGATGACCTAGATGGCTTGGGTCCTGGAAACCTGAAGGAGCGCCTTCTCCCCATGTGCCTGCCTGCCCCTTGAGATCTGAGGTGAAGGTCCTGCTACAGGAGCCCTCCTTGAAGGAGATTGGAGCCAGTGTGGTGTAGTGGTTAAGGGCATGGGACTGGGACTCAGGGGATCTGGGTTCGAGTCCCCGCTCAGCCATGGAGCCAGCTGGGTGACTTTGGGCCAGTCACAGACTCTCAGCCCAGCCTACCTCACAGGGTTGTTGTTGTGGGGATAAGATGGAGGAGGAGAATGATGTCAGCTGCCTTGAGCCCTTTGTAGGAGAAAGGCAGGATATCAATCAATCAATTAATAAAACTGGGAGGGAGAGGACCCGGAGGAGGGCCTTCTCTGTGGTGACACCCCGACTATGGAATATGCTCCCCAGAGAGGTTCACCTGGCACCAATGTGATTTTCTTTACAGCGTCAGGCAAAATCCTTTTTATTTTCCCATTGTTTTCATATTTAATTGATCGCAACTGGGGTTTTAGTATATTAATGGTCAGATACTGTGGGGTTGTTTTATTCTACTTTTTTATTGTAAGCCACCCCGAGACATTCTGTAGGGGATGGGATAGAAAAGCTTTTAATAAACAACCAATAAATAAATAAAAATACAAAATACTTAAAATATTCCTTTTTCTTCCCCTGCTCCCGTAAAGGTAGCAACATCATTTCCCAGAAGCAGCAATACCAGAATGCACCACTCCATGGTTCCAAAAGTCCTCTTTTTAGCAACCGTTTTCCTAAAAGTCATGTGAGGCCACAATGAAGCAAGATCTCCTTCTCTTGGCTGGTGGAATACTCAATTTCACAATATCCTACTAAATTACCAGGATCTGCAGGATAGGACAGCTGCTCTGACTTGCTCTCGGTTAAATTTCAGCTTCAAGCTGTCTGTTGGCTATTAGTGGGGAAGTACTTGTTTCTGTGGGGATTTCCAAGCTCTGTTCGAGATAATGACTTGATAATTTGCAAGAACTGGGTGTCCCAAGACAGCCACATTTCTGGGTGCAGAACCAGCTTCCAGTATGTGGGAGCCTGCATAAATCATTCTTTATACAATTTATAAAGCACAATTATAAATTGTATAAAGGGACCCTGTATAAATTGTTCTTTCTTCCCCCAATTATGGAGATTTCTGTCCTGTTTCCATATTAAACCTTCCCTGTTTGTTTGTTTGTTTTGAATAAACAGACACTGCACTGTTTCAGTATCACTGAATGTTTCCTTACAAAATAGGGACCGGTGCATGTAATTTATTTGCAGAGGCCTGGAAATTTAGACCCCTTTTCATGAGACTGTTTGCCAACTTGCAACCCCCCCTCCACTACCACCACCACCACCGTACACTCTGGATTAGTTTACAATGAGTTCAAGGGTTTCTTTTGTTCTTTTTCAGTGCTTTGGCGGTTCCAGGTCATACGCTTGCTGGACTGGCATGTCAGGGCCAGGAGTCAGGGAGAATGCGAGCCAAACTCAGGCAGTGGCAAGCTGTGGCAGGAGTGGAGGCTGAGGTTTCGTCAGGAACAGATGAGTGCAAAATACGTGACTTTCAAATGAGTTAGGGGGTCCTGGCTCATTCAGATGGAAAGGTGTTGGACCTCCGGCCCACCAAGGGTCTCCATCTTTCTGGGTGGCTCTACCCTTCCACTCAACAGCCCTCACTCTTGGGCTTTTTCCTGTCTTTGCGCAGCTTTCCCGCATTCTAGAAGTGGAAATTCCTTCCCCAAAAGCTTAAGCCATAGGTAGCCTTGAGCTAAGCTGTGTTGGAAGTTCTGGCACTTTCTCCCCTTCTGCCTCACCCTTGGGAGCGTTTCTCAAGTTGAATTTAGCCCTTGAATTAGGCTATGGTTAGGTCTGAGATCTGGCTAGCAGGTGTCTGCAGCTGAAGCATGTGGCCCTGGCGTGATGGAGGTCTCTTGAGGCCTTCATCTTGGAAGACACTCATTCCTGGGGTCACCCTAAATTGGAGATGACTTGACAGCAAAGAACCAGGTGTCTATCTCAGAATTAGACACTAGAGGGCTGCATTGGACTGGTTTTCAAGCAAGGCAGCTTTTGCCCCGACTGATTTGGGACCACCCATGCGGGTTAGAGGCCCAGACTCAAGGGGGACTACAGGAACTGGTGGCCTGGATTCGCTTTTGCAAAGGAGAGCTTGGGATGCTTTGGTGCCATCACCGTGCTGATGTTTTAGAAAGTGAAACCTAGAGGGAAGGTCCAGTGGAAGGCAGTGGTCTGGCTTACGAAGGGATTCTTGCTGCGCATCTTGCAGCTCCTCTGCTCCTTTGCCCCCCCCCCACTCCCCAAAGCCATCTCCTGCTGAGATGGACCATCAGCCCCTCAGCTGAAGGACTGCCCACTCTGACTGGAGGCTGCCAAGCAATGTTTTAGGCCAAAAGTGTGGAACCAATGGCTCTCCAGTGGTTGTTGGACTCCAGATCCCATCATGGATTCTGGCTCTCCCATCATTTATGTTATTAATTTTATTATTTTATTTATTTTTGGATTTATATCCTGCCTTTCTCCTACAAAGGGCTCAAGGCAGCTGACATCATTCTCCTCCTCCATCTTATCCCCACAACAACTACCCTGTGAGGTAGGTTGGGCTGAGAGTCTGTGCCTGGCCCAAAGTCACCCAGGTGGCTCCATGGCTGAGCGGGGACTAGAACCCAGGTCGTCTGAGTCCCAGTCCCATGCTCTTCACCGCTACACCACACTGGCTCTCCATGGGCCATGCTGCAAGAGGCTGATGGAAGCTGGAGTCCTGAGGCGAATGGAAGCTGGAGCTGATGGGGGTTCCTCAACCCATTCCAAAAAGCCGTCACCTGCACCATTTTCCAAACAGGAGCCAGTTGGGCACTAGAACTGAAGCTCGTTGGGAACTGCCACCAGCCAGTCATGCGGTTCTTTGCCGTCGGCACTCCTCCCCTTCCACCGCTAATCAGCTGGTTGCTCCTGCCTTCTTCTGTAGCCCAACTCACAGCAGATAGCCTTGACCAAAGCAAGTCTCAAGGCAAAGTTTGGGCACCCCATGAAAGAGAACGAGAGAGAGGGATGGAAAGCCATGCCTGTGATGGGGAGGGCGGAGGCAGCCGGTGGTCCCGGGGCTGGGCAGTGAAGAGCGCTGCAGGAAGCCCAGGGATGCAGGCAGGGGCGTCTTCCCCTCCCTGCTTGGAGAAGCCAAGGATGGAAGCCCTGACCTTCTGTGCTGCCACAGGAACAGCCCCCACCCTCTTCTTCTCTAATGGGAAGGGTAGATTCCTCATGGTGCCAGTTTGGGTGACTGAACTGGGGAACTCTGTGGTGGAGCTGCAGCCTGCTTAGGGTGGCTTCCTGGTCCAAGCTGGGCAGGGACTCGGGAGATCTGGGTTCGAGTCCCCGCTCAGCCATGGAGTTTACTGGATGGCGCTGAGCTAGTCTGAGGCTGTCAGCTTACCTCACCGGGGTTTTGTGAATGCCGGTTTGGCAAAGTGGTCAAAAGTGATCAGATGCTGCCCCGGGACACTCAGGCAGGCTGGGTTCTAGTCCCAGCCCAACCCACCTCACAGGGCTGTTGTATGGATCTGATGGAAAAGAGGGGAAGAACTGTAGAAGCTGCCTGGGCCAAGAGGTAGGGCAGCATCTCTTCTTTTTATTATTTCTTTTTTAATTTAAAACTTTTCTAGACCATTTAACAAAACAAAATATAAAATAAAACACAGCATCCTAAATATCCAACTGACAAAACCTCAGTTAAAACGATCAGATCTTAAAGCATTGGGAAAATAAAAAAGTTTTAGCGTGGTGCCGAAAAGAATAAAGTGATGGTGCCAGGCAAACCTCTCTGGGGAGTGAATTCCACAATTGGGGGGTTGCTGCAGAGAAGGGCCTTCTTCAGGTAGCCACCCTCCCAATCTCCTTCAGGGAGGCCCAGAGAAGGGCCTCTGCCCCAGATCTTAAGGGGCAGGCAGGCACCTGTGGAAGGAGACGCTCCTTCAGGGATTTCAGTGCAATTATCACTAAATGCTGATCAACAAAGGACAATAGCAGTGAAGTTTCAGCAGGCCTGCCAGGACCCCAAATATTGCTGAACTAGGAAAGAAAAATATTTGCAGGGGGACAAAGCAGGGAAGGAACTGAGCAACCTAGTGGGGACGTGTCACTGAGTATGTGAGAGGGGTGACAGTGAGGGGAAAGGGTAGAAAGGGTGTTGCTTTTTCTCTGTCTGCAGCCCCCAAGAGGACCACTCTGCAAGATTTTATTGCAAGAAGGAGGGGAGAAAACGTCAAGGCATAATCCTAGGCATGTTTAGACAGTGAAAGGGGCCAGCAACTCCCAGTATTCTGGCCGTCAGGGTTTCTTAGCTTGCCTAGTCTGACCTGCAAAAAGATAGCAAGGGAGAGGGAAGGAAATCCATGCCCAGGATGTGCCAGCATCAGCTGTAGATCATGGTAGGCATGCCAGGGGTGGAGCTGGTTAGAGCCGGGGGTCAGACTAGATGTCCGGGAGGCCCCTTCTGACTCGCTCTGATTCCCTGTGTCCCTTCACCACCCCGAGTGCAGTAAAGTAAGTCCATACAGTTGCACAAGAAATGTTTATTTTGCTCCCCTTCAAAGCATGTCATACGAAAGGCATACACAGTATGTACGTTAAGATCCTGGTGGCCCAGGAGAACAGGAAAAGAGATGCCACCCGTCCCGGATGGCTGCGTTCCCCGAACACGAGGAAACATTCGCTATTTCAATGAAACACAACACCAGAAAGAACACGCCTTCTTTCTCCCCAAATGTATGACATCAAAGCATGTGGATTGCTCATCAGGCAATCCTTTTGTCTTTAATATAAAGTAATGGGGCATTGTTTCCCTAAGAAACAGTACTGAGGGTGGGGGAGATCCGTGAAATGTCACAGCAATTTAACAGCCTTCTCTAAAACATCGAGGCTTTGAGGTCCTTCAGCCAGATGAATATCAAAGTCCAGAGACTATAAGCCGACATCTTTTTTTTAAATGGCTGCTGCAGCTTCTGGCAGCATCAAGCTCTGAACATCTCTCTACACTCCGACAACCTACATATTGCTGTTCACACACACTTTATCTTCATTGTGAAGGTACAAGCCCCTCCCCGGATAGGAACTGGGGTGTGTCGCTTTCGCCAATCAAAGCACATCCCAAATAGCACTCTCCGGACTTCACGAGTCCAACGTTTTCCATTCTCCCCACCCTCCCACCCTGAGAATAAATACTTTTAAAAGTGGGGGAATGACATTCCCTACAAAGAAGAGGAACAGGGCTGAGTGGCTGATGGAGGACCAGCCCTTCCTCTGGAATGGAAGTCCATTGGCCATTTTTCAGGCTGTCTACCAGGGCCTCCACAGGGTATGGACGTTCTTGGAAGAGGCGTGCTTCCTCGCCGAAGGAGAGCCGGTTGCTTCAGCAGTGAGAAGCTGTTTCCTTTGGAAGTGGCTCAGCAGCTTGGCCTCGGTCTCACCGTGGACTTTGTGAAGAGACATGAACTGGAAGGCTTCCCGCAAGCACCTGGAGTATCCTTCTTTGAAGTCCACCTGAGTGTCTTGATGGGCCAGCCCTACCACTGGAGAAAGAGAAGGAAAACGAGGTGATGATTCCATGGCCCTGCTATGGCTCGGAACACCTTTCAAGCACTCCATCTCAGAGCGAGCGAAAACATGATCCAACCGCTCTGTGATCAGGATGGGGCCCCTGAAGGACACGAAGGGGATATTTCATGCCTGGAATGTGCAGAAGTACGCACCCGGGCATGAACACTTTGGAAAGCAACTGTGAGCAGCAGAAAGAACCTGCTCAGTGACCATGGAAAGTTGTCAGTTGAGGAAGAAACAGGAAAATTGGGCAGGGTGTTGGAATGATATCCTGGGGGAAGGGGGAACCTGTCCTATCAGGCATCTGAAATGGGGGGGGGGGGAACAACCAGACAAAAAGGTACACCCATCAGTCATCACCCTCAAAGCAAACTGAAGGCCTCCAGGCTGAATGGCTGTACCCACCTGTTGCCTGCAGCTGGCTTTGCTGTTTCAGATACTCCACTGTCATCTCCAGGATATCCGCTTTCTCCAGCTTGGAGTTCGGCTGGTGCCTCTGGAATTCTTTCTCCAGCAGGACCTTGAGCTGCTCGATGCTGTTGTTGATGCGGTCTCGGCGCATCTTCTCCACCACCGGCTTTCTAAGCTGCAAAGAGGAGGGGGAAAGGGGGGGTTCGCTTAGAAGACAATCCAACAGAGTCCTGCTTCCTTGGAGACGAGCTCCCGGCTGATCCGGGCCTGCTGACCACCTCCCTCAGGGGAAAGCTATCTCCACAGCAAACATCTCTCAGCATTCCCACTCTCTCTCACAACAGTCCCTGAAAAACCTAGGAACTTTGCTGGGATTCTGGGAATGCTCCACTGGAGATGTCCTTCTTCACACCACCCACCCACAGAACTGCAATTCCTAGCATTTTCTGGGGGAAGTGACCCCTAAACCCATTTAACCTGACGTGTCCATGCAGCTGCAGACGTTAAAACTTGCCCGTCCGGTTACTTACTTTGTTTTTCTCCTTCGGGGTGAGGAGAACGTTTTGGTCCATGAAGAGGATGCCGGAAGGGGTCATGCCTTTGCGGGCCACCGCGGGAGAGGCTGCGACGGAGCAGGGAGCTGAGATGGTGTGAATGTGTCCCCGGCTGCTGGCGCCCCTCTATTTATGCAGGCCGGCCTCTCCAAGGCGCTGTGGGTCCCTGCTTCCCTCCAGTTTCCCACACTCCGGAGCCAATCAGGAGGCGTCCGCAGACACAATAAGAGAAGCACGTCTTCTTGCATGCTCCATTGGCCATGAATAGCCGGGGAAGAATGCAATGGGATAATGACCTCTTTAAAAAAAATGAGCAGGTGGGAGTCTGGGCTATGTGGACGAGTGCAGCTAGGGATTACACACACACACACACACACACACACGCTGGGAGAGCTGGGAACCGACTGGCCTTCCACTCACCAAGGCCATGGAGCAGACCCATGGCACAGGGGCGGGCTGGGGGCGAGGGGGGGATGGCCAGCGGCAGCGGGAAAGAGCCTTCTCTGGGCTAAAGAGGACACACGTGCCCAAGCACAGACCCTCTACCTCTTGAACAAAGCCCTCGTCCTCACAGATGTAGCAAATTGCTGGCAGTCTTTATCCCCGTCGCTCGTAGAAAGTTAGCATGCCAGGAGCAGACTCCACTGCAACGGGGAATGTTTTTACATGTGTGTGTTTCTTTCATTTAGGGAAGAGCAGTTCAAGCATGTTAAGCAGAGGTGCCGCCTTAATGAGGACTAGGACATTGCAAAGCCTGGTTAACCTAGATGTCAGAGGACAGAAAGTGTTTCTGAGGTGAACTTGGACTGGGAAGACCCGAATTCAAACCCTGTTCTGTCATGGACTTCCCCAGATGCTCTTGAAGATGGTCTTTATCTCTCAGCCTGATGGGGTTCTTGGGAAGATAAAAAGCAGTTGGGGAAAGCTTTGTATGTCACCTTTGAGGAAAGTTGGGCTATGGCACCCACCTATGACACCCGTTGGTTGGAGCCGGGGGTCAGACTAGATGGCCCAGGAGACCCTTTCTGACTTGCTCTGTTTCTACACAGAGTCCTGTCATAACACATGACGCGTGCTTTTTGCCATGAAAGTGCTAGCGGCGTTTCCACCACATTTCCGTCCCTCCCCTCTTCGAGTCCTTGCACTGAGCATTCACGCCAACACAATCCATGCACGAACGCACACATTTTCCTGCAAAATGACCCAAACCCTGTGGGCGGGGCCTAGAAAGTGAATTGCATGTCTGAATTAGGGATTTGAACCCAGGTCCAGGCATGGCCCACGAGTGCTGTCCACCCACCAGTCTTGCTGGTGCACAGGATGTTACTCTGTGCAATGCACGACTCCGAGATCTGGTAGGAGAGAAGGTTACAGGTGACTCTTCCCTGGAATAGAATCCCTCTTCCTTCCTTCCTTCCTTCCTTCCTTCCTTCCTTCCTTCCTTCCTTCCTTCTCACTGTCCACAATTCTTTTAACCTCAAAAATCACACAGATATTGTGTGTGTGTGTGCGCACGCACACACATTTTACAACAGAATTCAAGGACAGTTCCCAGATCGATGTTCCCCCTTTTCTCACTTCCCCCACTGTGGAGCAGGAACTTTGCAATACTTAATATTTTGTAAAAACATCCGGATTTTGGTATGATTTTCTCGAAGCTTGTATGTATGGGGAAAGAAAAGAGGAGAAGGCAAAAATTACAGGTGTTTATATGTGATAAATCAATAGCAAGGGTACAGAACTTTATGCAGGAGGAAGGCACCTGCCACAAGGAGATAGCAGTGGGAGGAGAAGACGGAGAGAAAGTTAAAAAGGTCTGTGCACTTGCTTGTCTTACTGCTCTAGGGATGGGTGAGGCAGGCCCTTTCTGGACTGACCATTTTCCCATATGGGCACCCCCTCCCGTTCGTTCGATCTGCTGCACTTTAAAAACAGATCCCCCATGCAAAGGTGCGTTTTAATACATCCTGAAATAAATCATCTCTCTCAAAACCCATTTTAAACATGCATTTCAAAGCAGGTTCCCTCTCAAGACACACACCTCGAGCTCCAGAGTTTATTTACAGAGGATAGGAAAGTATTTTGCTATCAAGGGCCAACCCTCCACAGGACAAATCAGCCCTGACGGTGCAGAGAATCCAGAGCTGGACAAACCTGCCTACACATGGGTAGGGAGGGCTCTTTTCAGCATTTAGGGTTTGTCTGGAACCGCCCCGCAATCCTGCCCCTTCCACCCCATCCAGACACTTGTCGAAACCAGCACGGTGTCACAGCAGCGGATGGGCAAGACTCGAATTCAATTTCTGCCTTAACCATGAAGCTCATGGGGTGAGTCCACTCAAAGCAGAACCAGCCTCTCCCGCTGTCCTACCTCACAGGGTTGTTGTTGAGGATAAATGGATGCAGCCTGGGCCCTTCGGAGGAAGAACAGGATATCAGTGTGGTTGTAACAACCACAGCACCAACAACAACAGTGAGAAGAGACAATCTCTTGGTGACTATTGTAGGGATAATGGGACGGTTTCCTTCCGCTCTTCACTATTATTATTATTATTATTTTATTATTATAACATTTCTATGCCGCCCCTTGCCGAAGCCTCGGGGCGGCTTACAACACAATAAGATACATTGAAATACAATAGAACATAATAAATTACCAATAAATACAAAAATACAAAAAATACAAAATACTATGCCTTTCAGCCTTGTATAAAATATCCTGCAGTTAAGGTGCAATCCTATAGATTATGCCCCCGATGAGCAGAAACCCCTGAAAGTGGGGTGGCCTGAGCAGAGGTGCCCTTCCCTTCCCTTCCCTTCCCTTCCCTTCCCTTCCCTTCCCTTCCCTTCCCGTGATGCATTTCCACTAGATGGTCTTTTTTGCCCATCTTGTATCAGAGGTAAACTTCACTGTGCCAGCCTGCACAGTCCTCCTCTAAAGCAAGTCCTTTGGAGTTCAGAGCATAGTATGGATCAGGACCTTGGCACCCTCTGGATGTTTTTGGAACAACCCCCGTCATGACAGGATGGAGGAGAGGCCCAGATCCTCCACTGGGTACCCGTTTCCCACCTGTGCCATGTGGGATTGCAGAGGACAAAGATGCCTCGGGCCTCCTTTCCAAACGTCACCAGAAAACTATTTCATCTCTACCTAAAACAAACCAAAGAGGACAAATTCTGGAACGGTAAGCAAGCAGTCACAATAAAATCCTCACATTTCGGCCTGGTTTGTCAAGCCTCACACATCTTATCCAATCCCTCCTTGCAGACAAGGCCCACATTTCAACATCCCTTCTTTTCCGTGAGGGTTTGCTTATTTTGCAATTCCCCAAGGCTAACGTACGGACTTGCCGCTCGTGCCAGCATGAGAGTACGGACTTGCCACTCGTGCCAGCATCCCGGTTCAAGAGGGCTTTTGGGGTGGACGGAGAGAGAGAAAACCAATCCATCGCCATGAATTAACGCCTAGCAAAGCGAGCCCTGAGTATTCTCCTCCCGAAGGAAAATGTGTGTGTGTGTGTGAGAGAGAGAGAGAGAGAAAGCGCGCTTTGAAAGGCATCATTGCAGGTTGCTGCCAGATGTTGGCTTTTTTAAAAGCCGGCTCGCTGCACATTCTTTAGCATGCGCTTCTGGGCGCAGGCCTTTTCCCACTGAACACAAAGCCGCGCCAAGAACCGTGGCTAATGCTTTTTTTGTGGCCAGGCACACGCCCATTGTGGGGAGAATGAATATCATTAAGAAACGGTGTGGGAAACGCAGAGGATTGCAAACTTCCTCAGCCCTGGATGGCATAAGCTACTTAGCCATGTGGCCTGGTAGCTGAAAGCAGAGGGGCTAAGATTTGGGGGAGGTGGGACACGGGCAGCCATCTTAATGCGGTTCAGATCACTGGCTCAGCTCAGTGTCTTCGGCGCCAGGCATCCGAAATTCAGGCCGGGGCCCAATCCACCGCTCTCAGGGTCCCCAGCTATTCCTTTACACCTCTTCCCTCTGGTTCTCCCACGGACCGCAGGATGCCTTCCTGGGTTTTGTGCCTCTTTCCCATTCAGAATAGTCAGTATGCCTCTCCTAGGCTGGAATTACAGACCATGAGAGCTTTCAGCTAAAAATAGCTGAGTGTTTTGGTCCCATTCCGTTTGCTTTCAGCCTAACCTACCACGGAAATGTGCTCACCACAAGCTTCCCCAAAATTTGGCCCTCACATTGAAAGCAGTTCAACAGCTTCATTGCTTCAGGCAGCCCCGTTCCCCTCACTACAAAAGAGGGACTGTGCCACCCAATAAGAAGGCACAAACGTGCATAAATTTGCATCTGCTGATTTTGATGCATCGGTGCAAATTTAGAAATGGTTTCTATGGCTGAGAAGAAAATGCAATGCAAAGCAGTGACCAGGCAGCTTATGTGCTTGCTAAAATAGTCTTCGTGGGATTCGTTCTTCTTCACTGGATACAAACATAGAAACAGAGCGAGTCAGAAGGGGTTTCCCGGGTCATCTAGTCTGACCCCCGGCTAGATAGAAGATGCCCCATGGCAACTTTTTGAGTGAAAGGTGGGCAAAGTTTTGGTTTGCCCCAAATTTTCAGCCAAGCAAAGACCCATGCTCACAATGTTAACTTCTGCACATCTCTGAATCTTGAGTGCTTGGCTCAAAAACCACAAATGCAAACAAACATTTTGGGGCAAGGTGAATTTCCGTGCATTATACGTATGGATTAAAAATCTCAGACTGTTGAAGAAGCTTCTAGACATGTAGAGGATACCTAAAGGATCACCTTTTCCCCTATTTGCCCTCCCGCCCCCTGAGATTGGCAAACAGAGCACCTGGAGCAGGGCCTTCTCTGTGGTGGCGCCCCATCTATGGAATGCACTCCCCAGAGAGGTCCGCCTGGCGCCATCACTATATGTTTTTCGGCACCAGGTCAAGACCTTTTTATTTAACCAATATTTTATTGCGTTTTAATACTGAATTTTATTGTTGTATTTTACTAATTTGCAGCCAGAGTGGATTGTCAATTTATGTTGTAAGCCATCCAGAGACGCAA